GGTTCTTATAGTAGAAAATGAAATTTTGATTTAGTTGAATAGCAAAACTTTTTGCTTCGAATATTAAAATATTTTTTCAACAACCCTGTTCATCAGAAAGGTAAACCAAGTCTTACATTCGCTTATTCTGGAGTAGAAAGGTAATCAAAATGACTCAAAAATACAATGATCTAATATATAAATAAGTGAATATCATGAAAAAAGTTTATACGATGAAAGTGTAAAATAACATTAGTAAGCAGAGGTGTTCCGGGCACGGAGGGAAACGAGGATGAACTTCCTCAATATTGGAAAATTTTTGTTTTTTCCCAGTGAAAGTGAACGATTTCCTTCGCTGTTTTTCGCATACCAATCCACGTAACAAGGATCGACTCTCTTCTCCATGTTGTTAACCTTACCTTCTTAGTAGTCGCTCCTTCCCCCAATCTTGATAACTTTGGGGCATCCCTATTAGTAATATTTTTCGAAAATCAATTCTTTTTTGTTGCTTTTAGCGATACATTAAAATCAGGAAAATTACATCCAACAGCTATTGTTCGGTAATTAAATTTGTTTTCTTAATTAAAAATTATCTTAATTTTTTTATTTAATAGAACTGCTGTTAGTGATTTAAATAATAAATATAAATATTGTTTAATAATGTGTAAACAATTAAGTACACAAGAAGAACTTGTATCACGTGATGAAATGAAAGGTGTTCCATTAACTGCTGATAAATTACTTTATTTACATGCTATCGAACTATGTCTAAATGCAGCCAGTTTAGAATTTTTTGGTAAAGCTCAAGAAGTAAGAAATGTTCTTTTAATTTCTTGAATGAAATAAATTAATGAAATTTTCTTTTTAAGTGTGTTCAACCATATACTGAAGCTCAAGTTTTATTCCATTGTTTAAGTCAACAAGCAATGACTGATTGTGATCGTTTAATTTTACAACAATATCGTGAAGCTGTCGAACGACGTTTACATTGTCTTCAAAATCAGGGACTTACGATGACTAATGAACCAGAGACGTCAGCAAATGTCACTTCTTGATTTTTTTTTTGTGAGTTTGGATATCGCTAGTCATTTATGTATATAAAATTCAGAACATTAATATGCTTTATTTTTAAATATTTGATTATGATTGAAATTTCATGGAATATTAGTTCATTTAGCAATTACAATGTTCTTAAATGAATTTGAATTTATGTGAATATAAACAAGGATCATATATATATGTATTAGTTTTACTGATGTGTTATTAAGTACAATAGGCAGAATATATAGATAAAAAAATTAGTTGTAACAAAATCAAGAAAGATAATTTACAATAAGTACAGAAGTTATTGTTAATACAACCATAGTAACAAATGAACGAATAATCTAGTTAGAACTTTTCTCTGAACGTTTCATTTTTACCATTAAACTCGTAATTTCTATCTTTAAATTACCCATTTCTTCGTTTAATTGATGTAACATGTCACGAAAATCATTGAACAGACTCTTCAATGAATTATTTTCTGTTTGTAATTTTTCAATTTGTTCTTTTTTGGTTTTTTTTATTTACTAGTGATATAAATTTATTTTTCTTTAAAAATCTAAAGATCAATGACAAGAACAATATTAAAAATTAGTAACGTTTTAAGATTTGTTATTATCACTTCTATACGGAACATGATTATTAAGAAGTCTTGAATTTTATTGCAATAAGAGGTGATTTCTACATTCCTCATAGACTGTACTAAACATTGTTATCTATTATTGTGTATGACTGAAGAAATTTACAGTTTAAATATCTGTCATTGGTCCTCTTTCTCAACATATTGTGGTATGTAATAAATTATAAATTTCATGCTGTTGTTCAAATCTTCTCGTTTACAATACAATTAACACCATCATATTTCGACTTTTAATTTTGCCTGTTAGTTAAGAAACAGCTATTTCTGGATAATTTTAGTTTGACATATATATTTACATTGGTATTGTTCTATCAAAAATCAGTTTCTAATAAAAGAATTAAAGATTTATACTTTTGAACAATACTCTTAATATATAAAGGATTTTACATATTAGATTAACAAAAATATATATATATATATATATATATATAATAAATTCTCATGATGGTATTGTAAAATCATGACTGGAATTTGAATACTTCTTATCAAGATAGATCTACCAAACGTATTGAATAACAACAAGTAGGTTACAGATGCACAGCTAACCATGAAAAGAACTATAATACATTAAAGTCACTTTATTGGTATATTGGCTTCCTTTGGTTCAAAATGATTTTGTGAACAATTTCATGCTCTCAAATGTTCATTGAATACTAAATAGATATTTCTCAGTTTACTAGAATAGGATAGATATTCAAGGTAATGAGTTCTATATGTATGCTATTGGCTATGTTAATGTGGCATACTGTTAGAGATATCAATATAAAGCGTTTGAATGTAAACAATAAAAATTCATATCAAATTGTTTTATTGAGTAATCTCACAATATATATAACCAATATTAATTGAAAAAGAAAAATGGTTATTGAATCTATGATCATGACAAACATTGAGCCACACTAATTTCTCATTTGTCTTTCGATTTCATTATTCTTGATAAGATAGAAATGTTAATCGAAATTCTTCTGATGTAGATATTTTATACTCGGCAAGTTTTATCTAAACTGCATACTCAATTTTTATCAATTTGTGAGGAGCAAAACAAATCATATCATTGCTTTTGCATAATTTGTTACTATGCATAACTCGTCTATAATATTAGATGGTGATTTATTATAGCTTTTATCTTCGATTAATTTCAAGATTATAATATCTGTAGATTTTGTATTGCAGGTGTCTGCCAACAGATTTACTAACTACGGTTTATGATGATAATTAAATACGCTTTATTCGTAATAAAAATAGAATTACAATAGATCCTACCGCGTTTTCTTTACTTATTGCATCAAATATTCATGCTTATTCGTACGATATCAATTAACTATCATTTTATCTGAAACAACTCGGCCTATATCATCTTGTTCGGACAATAAGATGTTTAGATGATGACAATTTAAACAAAAATTCTTATTTTATTTTTGAGTTTATCAATTTTTTTCTGTTTTATTTTAAACGATAACAAAAAGAAAACACATACAAAATTATCGTTTTTTTAAAATAATTTTTCATGAAAGAAAAAATCAACATCTAACTGATGTCAATAATCGATGAATTCTCATTGGGTTCATCATTCACTGCCATGCTTACACGCTAATAAAACAATTAAATAAATATATTTTTCTATAAATTATTTTAAAAAAATTTTTAGTTACTTGTGATTCATACAATTGTTCCACTTTTAATGATGAATCAAATGAACGCGTACTTAAACGACTTTGTAATGAAGAAGGTAAATATGATGTGGAACTTGTGAATGTACTTTATATTTAAAAAAGAAAATAATATTAAAAGAAGAACTTTAAATATTTGTTTTTTTACCTTAAAGATTTATTACGATATTTATAAATACGTGTAATCTGTGGAGAATCAGTTATATCGAGATCTTGTCGATGAAATTGATTATTAAGACATTCTAATGATTTCGATGGACATGGAGGTGTAGATAAAGAATGAGATAGTGATGCTGTTGACTGATATATATTATATGGATATGCACGTTGATTTGTTGTTCGATATTGATAGAAGCTCGATAATGATTCTCTTTTCAATCAATTCAATCAATAGATTATATAATATCAAAATCCTTAATTTACCTGTGTGTTTTATAATTCTTAAAAAAATTACGACAATAACAAATGAAAATAATTATCAATGCAAGTGTTAGGAAAATTGCAAGTAGTACAAGAAGCCAATAAAAATAAATAAATGGAATAACATTCGCAAGTTTATTTAGTTTTATATTCGATTCTATTTCTGTTGATGAAATCAATTTTGAAAAATATGATGTAGGAACAATCGTTGTCGTTGTTGTTGTTGTTGTTGTTGTTATTGTTGTTATATTCAATACAGACAAATGTTGACTCGATGTGAAAGAAGATGATACTTGAGGAATAAATCTACGATGATAATTTTGAAATTTATCCGCATAAAGATCTTCATAAGTAAAGATACCATTGACAGCCATTGCCTAGTCATAAATACATTCTACTATATAAGTGTATTTTTCTTTTTTTCTTTTTCTATCGAATAGATCACTCTGTATGCATACCCTGGATGATATTTCGATAAATCGAATGAAAAATTCTTTTCTTTATATTTATTCTCATATCATTTGATAGTTGATGTCATCAATACATTTCAGAATTTACGAAAATGTTACTGAAAATTGTGAAAAACTATTGACATTTTGTTGTTAGACTCGTAAATGTCGAAATTTCTATATTATTCTCTAAATGACTGAATCATCTATTATTATTTTTGTTCGAATATTCCATTTACAATGGATTTAATGTCAATAACAAGCTATGGTAGTTGAGAGTAAGAGAATGCCCTTTTTAAGATCGGCTTCATCCAAAAGTTTTCTTTTTCTTACATTTTTCTTTGAACTTACGATACATTGTTTCGAATTTTTCTTGCATAGTGAACGGATATCTCAGTCATATAACGTGACTTTGAAATTATTTAGAGTTACACGATAACAAAAATAACTAAATTCATCATAGATCTGTAAATTTCTTCACAGACAGTGGATGAGAAACATAATAAAAGAAAAATACAAAAAGTATATTTGATAATTATTATTTCATTGAATTTATTTCTATATATAATTTCATGCCTATATTTTATGTGTATTAAAAATAGATTTTTTTTTCTTGTAGGATTGTAATCAACTTAAGAATGACTGTTTTATTTTTTGAAATATTTTTAATTATTTTTCTTGCATTTTTTGCTCATGTTAAGAATCATCAATACTTATTCACACTATAGAATGCACTAAGGTCTATCATTGTCTTCAAACAGTACCAATTTGTAGAGTCGAAGTCATGTACTGAAGTTTTTTTTGGTCAAGCGATATTGATCGAATAATATTTCTTAAAACTATTGTGCTCACTAGAACTATTAAAGCAGATTCGAATAATATAAATTATTTTAAAAACATGAAAATAAAATTTCTGAACATACTCTTTGAATATTCGACCAGCAAAAATCCAATTTATTTTGTTAGTAATGATTCCAATGAAGAAATTGAATGATGTCCTATATTAATCAATGAAAGTTATATTCAAACTATCGAAGACTTAAAAAAAAGATACCTGAACTAAAAAATACTTCCGACTTAGACGTAGCTTGAAACTTTCACTTACATCAGTACATAGAAAAAAATGATGCAAAGTTTTTAATTCAAACTTATATAGCTGAATCAAAGTTCTGTAAATATATCCAAAAATTCTATGGCAATGATCAATAGATGTTTCATTCTGACAGAAGTTCTAATAATAGAAAGACTTGAAACTGATAATTATGTTATAATTGATTGACTTTATCGTTAGAAGGATACTATTCATTCATTGATTTATCAACCTATATTTCAACTAAATAGTTTGGCACATTTTGGTGTGATAATAGAAAAAGAAAATTTACTTCATTATTCAGATATTTCAATAATATATGTGCAACAAAAACGTTACCATCAACATAAGAAAATTATAAAATAAACAAGCTTTTTTTTTTATCTCTCAGAGTATTTCATCAATTAAACACATACTTATTATGTACATGTATTTAATTGATTCTTATACATGATTTAAAACGATTAATCTTCATAAAATGGCAGAATATCCTGAAGAAAAGAACAATACTATTCTTCAAAGAATTTCATTTGAAATTCGAAAATTGATATAAATGCAACAACCAATGTAGTAGAAATTGAATTTTTGCAATGCTATCAACTTTAGAACATTTACATAAAGTTTTTTTTTGAATATGTTCTAGTTAATTTTTCTTTCTTTTTATTTTTCGACAAAAACAATAACAATTTTAAACAAAATCTGTTTGAAAATTATATGAATCATCATTTGAATTGCTAGATGTTGTAAGTCGAATAATTGAATCTAATGCATCGCCTAGATTCGAAACGGATTTTTCTAAAATAAAAATAGAAAAAGAATTTGAAATCTTTTAATAAAATAAAAATTTTGCATTACCTGTTCTCTTTTGATGTTTTTTAAGTTTTTTAAATTCTTGTTGTCGAACAAGATTTGATCGTTTTATTGATCGTTGAATTTCATTATCATGTTCTTTATCAGCTAAATCAGCTGCTTGTTGTTTTGATAAACGTTTAGTTTTGTCATTTACTTGAACCATAAAACGAACCTTAATTAAACTTAATATATGAAAAAATAATAAAATCTACTTTCTTGAAAATACTTTTTTCGAATCTTTTGCTGTCGGTTGATGATTTTCATCATCATCATCATCATTATCTTGATTCATTTCTTCAATGGAATTATTTTCATCTTCTGACATATTTTCTTCTTTGTCTAAATCCATATCAGCTTGTGTTGGAGTCGATGCTGGAAGAGATATACCAGTAAGTGGAGTATTATGTAAATCTTTTAATTGTTCATTTTCATTTTTTAATAGACCATCAATATCAAATGCTTCTTTCATTTGTGTAACAAGTTCAGTACTGATTATTTCATATGTACGTTCAGGTGGTTCTGTAAAATAGGTCAGTTTACCATTAGTCCAATCAGAAAGTACTCGTTGTGCTGCTTTGTTTATATCAGGTATTCCACCTTTTTTTAAACTACCCATTTTCAAAGCCATTTTTGAAAGAAATTCATTAACATCTTGAAAATCACTTAGATTATATTGAAGCATCATCTATATGAGAAAAAAACAACAACTATGAATTAGTTTTTGTTTACCAAAAGAAAATAGATGTTTACTTGTTCTTTACTACATCGATTAAGTAATAATTCAATAGCTGGAACTGGATCTTCAATTGTTTCAATCTAGATAATACGATTAAAAATGATAGATATATTTTATTTACATCGTTTAATATATAATAAAACGTAACAAAATATTTGTTCAATGTAGGATTAGGATGTTATTCGTATATGTTCAAGCATCTAATTCTTTTTTATTATAAGTATACTCCTAAATCAACACTTAATATCTTTTGAGTTCAAGAAACAAGATCCACAGCTGTTTATTATTATAATTCATATTCATCATTACCTCATTTTTATTGCATTTTCAAAATTCGGTCACTTTTCAATTAATGAGCAATACACTACTTTCTTTATCATCTTTAAAAACATATAGATATTAATGAGAAACACTACGTAAGACTTTTTGATATGAATTAAAATTTTGATCTTGATGGTGTGAGTGTTAGAGGAAGACAAAATCAACATTTACCTCAATATCTATTGCATTTTAAAATTACATCGTTTTTTAAAGTAATTATACGCGGACATGATTTAAATGTACAAATTTATATGAACGAATCGTTCTGATTTTCACGTTTTAATCGGTATAAAATTGTTCACCAAGTAAACTTAGTATGCATTGTATCAAATGAAATGTCATTTTCATTCTCATCTTTCTATGTCTATCAACAATATACAAACCATGATCCAATTATGCAATAACTAATTACTTAAGAAATGGTCGTTTTTTTGGAGACACAACAAAAATGAGGCAATGCAATTTTACTCGTTCAAAAAAGCAGTCATTTTCCACTAATTGGCTTCATTTTTGGGCGCAATTAGGAAACTACAATTCAAAATATAAGATTAAACGGACTCCAATAGTACAGAACACAAACGATTCTTCTTGAGTGACCAAGCAAAAACGAGGCAATTTTTCAATATTGATGAGTAATTTTAATTTTTCCTAGATGCGACAGTTGTAGTGAGATTTTATACAAATACAAACAAAACTTATATATTTTTTATCTAATTCGTACTTCGAAATGCTATTAAATACTTCTTCTAAAAAAGAATATTAGTTGTCTTTATAATTCTAAAATAAACTTTTCAATCCTACAGTTAACTATTGTATTGATTGATTTTTGTCACTTTTATGTAAGAAATCTTCTGTTCTATTTAACTTACTCGAATACAATTACGAAGAACAAGACTAGCTGGATTCGTTTCTTTTGACATAACAATACCAGGACTATCGAATAATTTAATTAATTTATCTAATTTAATAGTTTGCATTTGTCTAAAAGAAATATTTTCCATAAAATGTAAATATTTGAAAAATAATTTTACTTTGTTATTCCAGGCATTGATCCAGTTTCACATGCTTGACTCCGCTTAAGACTATTAATCACACTACTTTTTCCAACATTTGGAAAACCTTCGAACACAAACAAAAACAAAAACAATTTTTATAATTGTTTTTTTTTGTTTTTAAATGAAACTTTTACCAACAATACCAACAGTAATACTTGTTTTAATATCATTTTTTCGACAATAATTCGAAAGAAGATTCATTAACGTCGATGCACCAATACATTTATTTGATGACTTAAGTAAATGTTCATCACAAGCTTTTAGTGATGCTTTAACATGACCCTAGATAAAAAAATAAATTCAAGAAATTGTTTTTGATTAAATATCAATTCATACTAATCGATCACGTTGATTTTGCGTTGATGAACGAAAAGCAATTGTTGGAAATTCATTACGTAAATATTTTAACCATTTATCGAGATTATCACGTGGAATAAGATCTATTAAAATAAACAAATCTTTTCAATTAACTTTAAAATAATCAATACCGATTTTATTGAGTAATAAAATAAGTTTTTTATTTTTTCCTGATGTTAAAACAGCTTCTTCAACCTGAGGACATCGACATCCAAGAGGATCACGTGCATCAAGTACTTGAATGATTATATCTGATGCATCGACGACCTTTTTAAATTCTCTATAAAATGTTTTTCGAGATCGTTCATCTCCTTCACCAACTTCAGCTGATAAATGCATTTGATCATTCTAAAATATATAGAAAATGATTCAATTTCAATCAAGATAAATTATATTTACTGTTGAACTTTGTTCATGGTCAAATACATCTTGTCGTCGTTCAGCATCATTTATCATCGATTCTAAAGATTTAGGCCGTTCAGCTTTTTTTTGTTGACGAGCTAAAGCACGTTGTTGTTTTTTTAATTGTCGTTCTTGTTCTAACTAAAAAAAAAAAAGTAAGGGAGAATAAAAATGATTTCGAATGAATGGCTTTTTTGCTCAAACAAACTTGTTTTTTAGCTTCTTCAGCTTGTTGTAATAATTCATTTTTAAATGGAGCTAATTTTGGTATTTTTATATCTTTTGATTTTCTTTCTAATTATTTAAAATTAAAAATTACAATAAAGAAATTAGAATATTTAGCTAATAATTACTTTTAAGTTCAGGATGTTTTCGTATTTCTTTACGCACTTTTTTATTATGAGCACGAACTTTCTTGGCTATGCTATATCGATGTGCACAGGAGACTCGTTTACTTTTTTTGTCTAAATATTTTTAAAAGAGATAGAAATTTAGAGAAGAAAATTTATACGTACTTATTTTGACCATGTTGTTAACTATAGATAATCTGAAAAAAAGTTAAAATAAAAAAATGAACCTTGTAGAAATAGAAAATATATGTTTAGTACAGTAATGATTAAGTACGAAATTTTCGATTCAGATGATTAGAGAACAATAAAGACCAATTGAATTGATCAAGTAAGATGAATATAGTTTCTAGTGACATCTAGTAATTGGATATAAACAAATTTTTGAAATTTATGAGATGCATGTTAGTAATGATGTCTTCAATCGGAAACTAAAAGACCAATATAGATTTATTCAGTTTTAATAAAATGTTTACTCAATACATATACGAGATACTTGCGACTAACTCAGTTATAGTAACAGAAAGAAGGTATACGCGTCATATCGTTCTTTGGTTATTAAATTTCACGTCGAGAAAAGATTCGAAGCTCCAGATAAATATGATGGCTTGTGTTTCTTATCGATCCTTTTTAATTTGAACCTTTTTCATATTGAAACATAGGCATCTATTGAGGAACTTTTAAGAGACAAATACCACCGTCAGAAAAAGATAATCGTTGACTTATGAACACTTTCTTCAGATATTTTCATCTTTCAGAAGGATAAGATCAATTCTTATATCATCTTTTGGATGCTTTCTTGAGGAAACAGAACTATGTTATTTATCAAATGTCCATGAGGGCCCAAAATAATATTGAACTTTTCTTTCTAAAATTCGCTCTCTGCCATTATTTCCTACAAGATCAATTGGAGATCCACATATACATTGTATAATAAAATATTGCAATTTGTTGTTCCAGAACGAATTGCCGATGCAGTGAACTTTTTGCAACGAATGGTCCACGACGATTACTCTTTTGATGAAAAGTCTGGACTTCGCAATCCACAATGTATAGATGGAACTCAAACACACTGTATCCAGCTTTTTTATATCAGTAGTAAACGACGAAGTGGTGTTTCTTATTTACAGACTTCAGCTTCGTAGAACCTTTTCTTTGATCAAATTTCATTTGAGTCATTCTACACTACATACTCAGTAGATAAAAATAACCGACAGATAGAAAAAAGCTTTCTGATATTCATACTGTTGTACTCTCGGCAATGATTAATATTGTTATTAATCTATTTGAAACTAAACGATGATCGACACATCAGATTAGCATATCAATATCTTAGTCAGAAATGTCATGTATCAAAATTCAATGTGGATATTTGTTCTTTTTTTCTTTCAATTTTCAATAGAGTTTGAATTATTTTGTAAGCTTATGGTATGTAAGAGATATTTCATCACAATAAATAGACGTGATTCGAACATTTTTTTTTCTATGCACGACTCATGTAGTGATGTAAAATCGATTTTTATTTTTACTTTAAAGTCAAAAATAATGTTTTCATTAATATTAATTGCAACTTTCCTTGTCAGTGCTAGCAGCAATTCAAATTGTTCAAATCGACAAGCAATTGAACAATCTCTCAATAAAGTTCATATTCCAGGTGCAACAATCGTTGTTGTGAATGCTACGAGTATACTTTATGAAGATGGTTTTGGTTACCATTCTCTATTACCGACAAAAATTATGGATGTAAAGCAATCGATTTTTGCCCTGGCTTCTATCTCAAAGACATTCATTGCTGTTGCTGCCATGCAATTAGTCGAGAAAGAACTTGTTGATCTTGATACGGATATTAACCAATATTTATCGGAACCTGATCGAAAAATCTTTCATCCAGATTTTCCAACTAATCCGATTACGTTGCGTAAATTACTTTGACATTCTTCATTAATTGCTGTTGATGCTCAGTTGTAGAGCACTTTCTATCAATTGGGTGATAGTGCATTTGTCAAAGAAACTTTGGCTGATATGTTGTTTAAATATTTGAGTCCAAACTCATCGAATTGGTTACCAAGACCACCAGGAAATGCAACGCTTTATTCTTATGAGGGTACGTCATTGGCTGCATTGGTTGTTGAGCGAATTACTAAAATGCCCTATGAATAATATGTTAAAGAAAATATTTTCAAACCATTGAATATTGATATTCGAAGAGTTGGTGTTCGTCTAGCTGATTTTCAAAATATAGATGAACTCGTTAAGCACTATGCATATGCTGTTAATGAATCCTTTCTTCAACTATGGACTCAAGAAATGCCTCAATTAAATATCAGTCAAATGAAGGTAAATGTCTCTATTTATAGTAGGTCTTTTTCTTAAGAATTATTCTTTTTACAGGGTAATCTTTCAACATGGTTGCATTTTTCTTTTTTTGGTTTCAGTGGTTATCCTACCGGTCTTTTACGAATGTGAGCTCGTTCTTTATCTGCTTTTCTTCAAATGTTTATTAATAATGGATCTCCACTCCTTTCTTCTCGATCTATTATTGAAATGAAAACAGTAGTCGGTGGTGGTCTTATTCGTCCTTATAATACAAATCCTAGCATTAATTCTATAGATCAACTTCCACCACGAAGATACGAACTCTGTTGACATTGGCGAACACTAAATGATGGTCGTCAATATGTAGGTCATGGTGGTGCTTTACCGGGCATGACACATTTAATGTTAGTTAATGAAAATCATACTATTGGTGTTATTGTGCTTACTAATGCTGATACGAATGCGCCAATTGATTTAACTCGACAGATTTATGAGACAATCGAAAACATTCATATAATACTTTTTAATTGTTTTGAAACTAATAATGCTAATTCATTTGTCTTTCGTCCGAAAAATATATTCTTTCTAATTTCTTCTATTATCTTGCTTCGTTCTTATAACTTTTGACCAATGGTAACGTATTTTGTTCATAGAAGTTCCTCTATAAAAAATGAAGAATTTTATCTTTAATACTATTTATCAAGGTTTTTTTCTTTCTTTACTATTATTGAATAGACAAACCGTAATTGATAATGTTTCTGAATGAAAATTCTTCAACCATGAAAGTTTCGTTCCATTGATTATTTCTCATGTTATATTAGTTCATGGAATCCTTCCAAATATCGCTCTGATCAAATTTTGATTTCTTATTTTTCTTGATCACAATATATCGAGATGCAAGACGACTATAGATGTTGAGAACAACCGAATCACGTATTGGGCAATTATGGCCAATGCTGACATTGAAATACTTCATAAAAAAATTAATCAAATATGAATCCATTTTTACTTTACCTTTTAGATTAATGTACGAATGCATGACAAAGAACTTATAAAAATAATGTCTAGTTATTTCGTACAAGTAACAATATTAATGATAGTAAATTATTAGTTCATCACATAGAAACTCTAGAATATAAATAATGCCATAATCTCAATATATACTGGAGTATCAAGTTCTTTTTCAAGCTTGTCGATCATCATCAGTAGCAGCATTTCTAATGATATATCTTAAAATATTATTGTGTCCTTTTGATGTTCGATTCCTCCATTTAGGACTTGAGAATGTAAATGTGAGTGTGAATGAAGATGTATCGATGAAGAGGCATACTATACCAACACCCGCATCCATAGGCTCAAGTATATGCCTAAATTACAGCTCAAAATAGCTACTATGATCAAGTCATTCTTAAGAAATGTATACGATCACTAACATTTGAATCCATTAATGAGAATAAATATAACTTTCAAGAGTGAAGAGAGAGCTAATAGTGAGTAAAATAAAAAAGACGATGAGAACAGGGTTACCATCGGTTCGAGTACTTTTGCATTCAACCAATGAATCAAAATGAATTCTAATAACTTATCGAATACCATTTCCTTCATATTCATGACAACACTGTTCCGTATATGCACTCTTTAAATATCACATTATTGTGTAAAGAAAAGGCAGAATTTTTTCGAAAATAAAAGGGTACAAAAGTAAAAACAATGCTTGATAGTGCAAGAAAGAAGGTTTTGAGTCATCTAATATTACTCTCCTTGACTGTCTTATTTTCTACAAAAAGGTTGGGACATATTGAACTAACTTGATGCACAGCACTTTATGAAGTAACAGTGAGCTTTGCGATTAACACCTGAACTGTGTTTCCAGGGACATTGAAAAATTAGTTAATAAAATGGATCTTAGGAATATGTTTGTTCATATTCATCATAACTGCTTCTCTGGATTATTCGACAGACTCTATCTTACCAGACTATTGTTTGTATCTCTAACACCACCCCACGGACATGGAAAAGATTATTAAAGCTTCCTCAAAGCGGCTGTCAGCTATATCGAAAGAACTTACTGATCTGTTGAACTCGAAAGTTAGCTTCGTAGCCATGCGAGATCTAGACGGGTTTGGATATGTCAATCTTACTCTTCAAGAATATTTCGTGGTTCTAACCATTTAAAACTACTGTCTGATAAAGAGGAAATATCTACATCTTCAATGTTCCATCATGCATTCTTTTTCATGGCAAAGCCTGACTTTTATCGGTCTTTACTGCTTATAATAGGTCAGATTCAATTAATGTGAAGCAGTGATGATTTTGATGAATTCTATATCGTGCTGTTAAAAACATACATCAGAATGCTGCCCATGAGCTCTCTTCTACTAGTCAATATACTCGGAACGCTTTTTGTCTTCCCATCATGCCATGGTTTATATCATTTTTTCGATTGTCTGCTCTCTTCTTAGAACATGTTCTTAATAGAGAGCCTAATATAGGGTCTGAAGAAGACGATAGAAGTTCTTAGTTTAATTCAAGATCTCTAACATTGAACGACTTATCGAAAAGTTTTTTTGTAGTTCTATTTTACTTTCTGTCAATTATCAATCATCGGATCATTTAGATGACGATGGCAGACGAAATAGGAAGGCTCTTCATCATATATTAAATCCTAGTAATATTCTTATCGCTTCTGCGAATTACTTTTTGATATACAGCCGTGATGTGAATGTAAGGGAGAGTGAGGATAAAAGCTTCACTCCATAACCATCGAATAGCTACACCCTTACACATAATCATAGCTAATATGTTCAGTTTTCACACCGACTCCTACTTTGACACCCATATCTTTATTAGCCGTACTTTGACTTTTCATATTACTATCTATAACAGAACCAATTTCATTGGTAATTTTCATCGATCTTGAATTGTCTAAAATGATTACATGTCATTGAAATCACGAAAGATTTTTCGCAAAGTCAACATCGGATTGATGTTTGCAAAGTATAATAGTCTGGAAGTTTTATTCTTCTTTTCAATACTACTATATCCAAAATAGGTTTACGGAGAAACGATAGGCATTTTTTGTAGAGAATTCTACAACGCATTTTTAAAAAATGGAATAATCTCATAATTTCAATCAAATTGAAATGTAAGTAAAATATTGAATGAATGATTTCTTCTGAATTAGTTGTTAATCATTGGAAAAAGATCGAATGTTTATGATTATGCACATTTTCTTCTTCTTTTTCATTGATGGTGCCTTTTTTATGACTGTATTTCTAAGGTCCAACTCTGATTTAACAGCCGATCGAGAAAGTGCTTTTTTTGCTGATTTTCTGCCTTTCTGGGTGCACTGAAGCCGCAAACTGATAGATGCAGGTAAGTAATATTTTTGGATTACGTAACATAGTTTTCTTTCTTGCGCAGGCATATGAGTCTAATCATATCTGGAGCTTTTTCTCAAGCATCAGCAGAGAAAAAAAAGAAAGAAGACAGTGCTTTGTTCGAGGAAGAAAAGCAAAACTTTCGTACTTCACTCGTACTTCGAAGTACTAAACTCTCGCCTTTTCCTCCTTGGTTTTGTTACAAATCAAGGCTACGAAGCGAAAAACAAAAAAATAAGCATATATTGCAACGATAAAATACAACATGTGTGTATTTTTGATAACAAAACACGTAGCACATGCTTGCTATGTCAATAAATGATAACAATGGGTTGCACAGGTATGAAAAAGGGTGTTAGCACATTTTCATAATGAGACACTCATGTCATGAAGAAAAATGGACATGTAATGCTTCCATCAACATCTCAAATTGAATGAATAATGGTTTTTTTGCGACAAAGAGAAACTTTTTGAGAAGATTAGACGCAAGCAGTTTCGTTAGTTTTACTTTTTATGAGAGTTACAATAAAGATACCACTTGTCCTGCCTCTTCTGTCAAAGACAAGCGCACATTAGGGGGTATGGATGTAAATGTGAGGATGGATGTGGGTCGGTGTGAGTGTGTTGGTTGTGGACGAAGTGAGGACTAGGGGTGGCACTTTAACTTTAACTTTAAAGAAAAGTTAAAGTTTAAAGTTGTTTAAAGTGACTTTAAAGTCGTTTAAAGTCGCTTTATTTTTCTTGTTTCTAATATTTTACAGGCTATAGAGTATCAAAAACAGGAAAAATAAAGAAGTCTAAAGCGACTTTAAAGTCACTTTAAACAACTTTAAACTTTAACTTTTCTTTAAAGTTAAAGTTAAAGTGCCACCCCTAGTGAGGACCGTCATGCATTCACTCATCCATCCATACCCACACCCACAGCGCAACGCTGAAGAGGTTTTCTAATTAAGGGAAGGTAAGAGCATAGAGTTGTTCTGTAATAATAAGATGACGTCTACACTACCACTGTATTTAAGACAGTGTACGCAACTTATCATGATTACTTTGTGGACTTTTTTCTTTCGATAGAACACAAAATGACAAATGAAACTGATGATAAACAAAAAGAACAGATGGACGCTTACAAACGCAAACTTGGACTATTAAGAGTGATCTCTATTATCGTTACGACTCTTATATTAGCATTAGCTTTTTTTGACCAATTTCCATGGATGGTACTAATCGATGACAATGATATATCTTTATCATTGGCAAAACATTTAATATTTACTTTACAACTTTCATTTTTGGATATTCTTCCATTATTAATCACTATTGGTGCAGTAATTAGTCAGCGTTTTTCAACTATTGCCATTAATCCAATGGATCCGAGAGGACATGTGTTTGTTGAACAACGACAACGTATTCTACAAAATACCCTTGAACAATTGATTATAAAATTTATTCTTTCATTAATTCTTTGTACTGTACTTCAATCGAATGAACTGATAATCTTGCCTGTTTTTACCATTCTTTTTCTTGTCGGTCGATTTACCTTTGCTCTTGGCTATCCAAACTATCGGTCCTTTGGCATAACAATGAATATTCTCAGTGCTTCTTTTATGATAATAATAATAAGCTATCGTCTATTAATTGAAGGGTCCCTGTTACAACATATAAAATCAAAATGAAACAAAATTTATCTTTTTAATTTGACGCAAATTTTAATAAACATACGTCTTTTTTGAGGTTATACGCGAGTATGAATCTTATCTTTAATCAGACCCTCATCCAAATAGTAAGCGGAATACAGTAGTCCACTGAATTGTAGTAAGCACTTTGGCAAATATTTACACATGTAATGTCTATAGTGCGTGTTATTTCTCACAAATCAACAAATAATACCTACGTTATTTCTATTTTCAGCGAAAAGTACACTGTAAAAAAATCGTAGACTAATAAACGTTTAAAGGGTTCTACTTGAAGATTTTAGAGTAATTACTAGCACTGATGATTGGAAGCGTGTCTAAGAAGGATTCAGAATTTCACTTTCATAAAAGCATAGATGACATTATAAATTGAATCTCAATATTAGTTGATTCAGTGTTATCTAACGTGAGTATTGATTCTTCTTTTCCTTTTGGAAGAGTAGAGAAAAAAGCATCTGTCGACAATTGACAATGTTCGCCGTTCCCTATTTGCTTATGTGACTTTGTCGCACATGAATGCACCTATTAAAATGTATCCTTTGCAAATTCTTCGATCTTTCGTGAAAAAAAATGTCAAAAAAAAAAGTATATACACTGCTCAATTATTATTTACTTTGTGAGGATGATTCATGCAGTGCAAAAAATCTCTGTATTCTTATCAGAGGATAAGCAATTGGTCCACCACGCTTGCTTTGATCTTCGAAAATGAAAAAAGTAATAAAGAAAATACTCACGACAAGATCGTAAAGAAGAGTAATATTTTAAAATGAACAGACTCCACAATTTAGATCATCCCGATTAGTGTAAAAAGAATTTATTCTAAAAAAATTAGGATCAATGCTTATTGAAAACCAATGCTCTCGATGGTGTATACGATATAGACACATGACATTCTAATTGATAAGAACGAAGCAGGTTTTAGCAATTTAAAGTCCAATTAAAAATCATGATTTCATTCAATCGACTGAATATATTGTAAAAATTGTATGATTTCCAGCAATGTAAATTGTCATAGATGAAATTCATTTGATTGTATCACGCAGCTTAGAAACTAAACTGTAGATTGTGATCAATTGTCTTTTACTTCAAAGAGCACATAGAAAATAACTAGAAGATTCATAGACTCTGATAATAATGGCAATGCCGACACTTATAAAAAATATAGTTAGAGTATAAAACTAAATTAACTATTGCAAAATATTCATCTATGATTGGAATACACATACACCCACGCTCACTCTCAACATGGAACTCTCGAATATTATTAAAAAGCAATAGCATTAACTGTAAAAACTGTATTAAACAAATAAAAAACTAATCGACACATAAAAATATGACCTGAATATAGTGATGCATCATGTTCTACGTAGTTATGACGTATGATTTCAATTAAATAATACAATGACTTTTCATTGAAATTTCTCATGTATAACATATGAACGACACTTAAATGATACACGTATTAATAAGACCAATTTCAATGACTCTCACTTCTTTGAACGTAGATGGAAAGTGCTTCGCGTTCGATGGTTATCAATTACACTGCGAAAGAGAAAACATCCGAGATAAGGTTGAATCTTCCACTTTTAGTGTAGAAAAAAGAAATACAAATGAATTTTTGTGTATAATGATATCTGTGTATTTGAGCGGAACTTTAAAATAATTTTGAAACTTTTTGAAGCAGGTTTTTCAGCTTACGTTTCTTGATGAATAATATTCATGAATAACACCCATTATTCGACATATGTTATAGCTGAAAGATTTTCTTGCAATCAACATAAATATCAGTGTACTTCGAATTCCTTGCTTCATGACTATCTCTAAGACAGATATGCTTATCAGAAAATGTAATTAAATTCATGTCTGTTTGAAAGCATCGATTCATGATCGAAATTTTGCCTTGTCACTATCTGTTACTTTCGAAGATCTGCGAACAAAATTAATACAAAATCATCGAAAAAATTAGAACACAATCGAATTTAGAAGAAGATATTGTATCTGCTGATATTTTGCATTCATTCACAAGTATATGTATATCTACTGCATGCAATTCATCTGAACATAATTCTAAACCAATTAAGAAAATATTCGACAAAGAAACTGCAACAATATGGAACGAAAGTCGTGGCTAAAGATGATTATTTTCAATAACAACTCATTTCGAATGTATTTGATGGTTACTTGGGCGTTGTTTGTAATTATTTACGTGTTATCAATCATCGCCTATCTCAGATTACAACTATGTAAAGATTGGCTCACATAGCATTCACTTTCATCAAACAATATGTTTACTGTTCTGCTCTTTCTTGTCTTTGTACATGGTCTTAATGGTCTCTCCTGTGTTGATTCTATACATTTTTAATATATATTCAGATATATGTCTTTTGTCAATTTCTTGCGGTGAATACCTATTAATCTTAAATATTATTTTATAAATATTCATAGCTATTTAAATATCATTTGACTACTTATTTATTATAATTGTTTTTTGTTTTGAGCAAAGAATGATAAGATTGGGTATACCTAGATGAATAAGAAAAGAGAATATCATGGGATTATTCTTTTAAATGAATTGAGAGTAGCTGAAATTAAATATTGAATGTTTATATTGAGTCGAAAGAAGTTCTGTTTAGAGATGTTTCTGAAATGACGCTTTAGTTAGAATTGAATAATATAAAATACAATGATTAATTTCGAAGTGATCAGCGCATTTTTTGTAGAGAATGTATATTTCTGTGAATCAGTATACACAAAATAATACATCGATAATAGACAATAAAATATAAAGTAGTAAAATTTATCAGGAAGAGATTAGACTGTAACAGAATGAAAAAAATCTACGAGGTATTCAATGTCAGCAAAAGCAGAATCAACCATTAAAAACAATTTTAAGAACATACTATCAAGAAAAAAGATCGAAAATATGATGCAATATATAAAAAAGAAAAAGAAATGAATATGAATCATCATAAAAGCGAATGACATTATTCACAGCATGAGTACTTTCAAATTTCTCAGTGCAATTGATCACTCCAATTAACTATTCTTTGTCATCAACATAAGCATTTTCATAAGTAAACAAAACAGAATTAGATTAATGGACAGATAGTTATATAATTAAATAATCAAGTAGAAGATTGAAAAGCTAGATGCAAACAATGTTGGTTGAGTGACAAACGCTTTAGTACACAGTTGATTAGCATGATATCTGTATAAAAACATATGCAAATAAATAATGTTAATGCCGACTATTCTTTTAATTAATAATTAACTTTAACAGTGCTATTCTCATTTGATTAACATTTAATTTGTTGACGTATGGTTTAAGTGAAATAATCAGATGAGTAGATAGAAAACACAACTTGATATAGAACATTTTCGAAGTGAAAATTGATGCGTAAGTAGATATATGAATAGTTAGATAGGTAAATAAAATACTCAGTTAATACTTCGATAACGTTTCTATACAACAGAAAGAGAGACAATAAATACATATATCAGAAGTAAAGCAAAACAGAACAGGTTAAATCAGTTAAAGATGATATAATTCGATTTACACAATATTCAATTTTTAATAGATAAATATAAATATTTGTGTTGAACTCTCTTTTACCGTTTTGTTTTGATTAACTAGTAATTAATTAACTTGACTAAAAAAGTCAATAATGTGTACCGTTTATTTTTATGAACAAAGAATAGAAAAAGTGCAAATCCCAATAACAATACTAGATTGTTCTGAAACGAAATCAAAACTAACTATTATCTATTATAATTAGGTTCTAGATTCATTGTGAGTTTTCTAATTGATTATAACTAATTATAATGAAAATTATTAACCTGATTTTTGTGAAAAAAAATCAAAATTATAATGGATTAGGATAATTATAATCGATGAAAATCTTATTTCAATAGATTATAATTTGAATTTTGTTTCACAATAATCAGAGGTTTATTATTTAATTTGTGCTCATGGAATTTATAGATTTTAATCATCGAATTTTCTTACTGACGTGCTTTCGTTATTCAGTTTCTTTGCATCAAATGTTAGTGAATAATGTTCAATAATAGTTGATTTGTCTATGATGTTTTAAAAAAATATTGGATCAGTAGATGTTTCCATTGTGGTCGTTGTTGTTGACGATTGACTTATTCGATTCAATTTCATTTGAGCATTTACTGTTAATAATTTGATACCAGTAAGCTGATCATTTTGATTGAATAATGAATGCTCACTGATTGAGTTCGATATAATTTGAGTACTCTTGAGTAAATGTTTAGGAGTACATTGTTGCAAAATTTCGTCAAGAACATATTGAAATGCTTGATTTTTATTGTCGTGAAAACGCGAACATGAGTAGTGTGGTAAATCTGTTTCCATTCTTCTGTTTTTGTTGTTTATAGTCTTTGATGAAACATCAATAGTATTGACTTTATCGATATTCATATTTTGAATTCCTTTATACGTGTAAGCGAAACATACATCAATTGAATCATCGATGGTGTGACCCCAAATATCACATTTGTGTGATTGAATGGTGCTTTCGGATGAAAGTTTCGATTCGAGCTGTAAGGTTTGATTCTTGATATTGATTAGCCATTGAATCCATTTGTTGACTAACTTTCGATCACATGAATGAGGTGGCAAACATGTATAGAATATTCTACTCCAAATGGATGGTATTGAATTTTCTACTGTAAGTATCATATCAAAAGTCATATGTTTTTGTGTGCTATTCTTAGGCTCGTCATAGTTAATGGTTACATGACCGTCATGCTGACGATAGTCGGCTTCCATGTAGATGTCACAACGATTGATATTATCCAAGAATGATTTAATCTCTTTATCTAATTCAATTAGAGTAAATGAAAAATTTGTTGAACGAAGGTTAGCTGGTGTACTGGTAAAATTTTGACGCGAACAAGACAAACTGCGTATACCTTGAATAAAAATGACAAAGAGAAGAACATAGAATATTTTATCAATATGATGTCAATAGGAGGATAAGTAGAATTCTTCAAAAGCATAACTAAGAAATTTATCTCTTTTCTAGAATTCTATTTGAATTCTGTATTCCAATGAGAAATGTGCATATATCGGTCAACGAGGAAACATCATACTCGAGTACCTACGGGTAAGTAAGAGTAGGTCAGGGATACCTAGAACTGAATAAACATTGTATTTCGCACCTTTTGTATGTCCAACTACTCGTCAGTACTTTATAGGTCCTCAAGGTATCTCTAGTTATTCTTAGACAAGATGTGAAATATCATACTCAAGCACTTCGATGCCTCTAGAAGTGATTCGAAATACAAGAAACACGAAATTCCGTATATGATATCATTGGTGTCGTATGCTAAGAAAACAGATTTCTACTTAGAATTCTAAGTAGAAATCTACTTTTCCAGTAGAAACCAGCAATGATATACACACAATTCTAATAGGAATACAGAATTTTAGAAAAAAAAGGCTCTGACTAAATTATTCTAGAAAGACAGAATTCTAAAAAGAAATTAGTTTTGTTATGCAGTGAATGATGAATAGAGTAAACAAATTTTTAAATTCTATCGCTGCTGATCTCAACTTCAAGTAAGTATAAAATTTATTGATTTAGTATATCATCGATCTTAGGTAGACTAATGTATAATTATTATTTAACAAAATTAGTAAAAAAGTTATTCTAATCAAATCGACGTTTAAAGAAAACTTCCAAGTATACGTACTATCATCGAAACGTTGATGATCTGCGAAGTCATAGAATAGTTCTTGAGTAAATTTGTTTTTTTTGCACTTGTATTCGAATTCAATTGGTAAGCTGTGTACAGATTCGATCTGTTTTATTTTCACATAGATATATATTGAACCTAATGATCGATTTTCGAGACAACTACCATTGTTCAAAGGAATATTTTTCAATTCATCGTAAAGTGCAAAGCACATGTGACTTGCACAATCAGATGTTGCATGTTTCCAATAACATTTCGTTGATTCAGAAGAATTTGACAGTAGATATGTAATGGCTGTATGTAAAGAATTATCATCGGTACCGAGCAATCGTTTGACCCATTGTTTGACAAATGTATGTTCACAAAAATCATGTGACGAACATACATAGTCAATGTAGCTCACCATCGATTGTTGATCGTTTTCTAATGTGAACGTTGTTCCAAATTCCATATAATCACAAGTATCACTTGCAGGCTCATCATAGGTGATATTCACGTAATCATCTCCTTGAATATTGTATTCAACAATGATAGTAACATGACAAACACTGTTATCATCCCCCGATTGTGATTGAAAATTTGCTTCGATCGTGTCTGATGTAAAAGTGTTCCATTCAAAATTCTTTCGAGGTACTCGAAAAGAATGTACAGAATCAACACAGGAGAGACCATTAAGACCATGTACAAAGACAAGAAAGAGCAGAACAGTAAACATATCGTTTGATGAAAGTGAATGCTATGTGAGCCAATCTTTACATAGTTGTAATCTGAGATAGACGATGATTGATAACACGTAAATAATTACAAACGACGCCCAAGTAACCATCAAATACATTCGAAATGAGTTGTTATTGAAAATAATCATCTTTAGCCACGACTTTCGTTCCATATTGTTGCAGTTTCTTTGTCGAATATTTTCTTAATTGGTCTAGAATTATGTTCAGATAAATTGCATGCAGTAGATATACATACACTTGTGAATGAATGCAAGCTATCAGCAGACACAATATCTTCTACACAGGACCCGCACGAGGGCCCCAAGATTGGGGGTGTGAGGGAGTTTCGAGCCAGTCAAGATTGAGTGATGAAAAATTTTTTTCCGCATGAGACCTAATGTTAATCTTCCTCTATTGACTTAAAATGTAACAATTTTTCGCGAAGCAATAACTTTTTTCAACCTTCGTAAAAGACTCGACTTTTTTCAGCAAGTTTTGCTGAAGAGAACTCGATTCCCATGTGAGGAAACTTCTCACTCCTGTCATCATCGAAAGTGGCCACTCTGGTGAAAAATTTTCTATATCAAGCTGTTTCGAAGGAAAAATTGACTAAAGTTAGGAGCTTTTATAAGTTCACTACGGTTACACGATTGTTATTTTTCACGGAGCAAAAACAGTTTTCCAGACTAATGAAAGACTTTTTTTCTTATATTGTTCGAAAGAAAAAAGTGTTACGACAGCTCTTACAGATTTCACCTCCGAAGGCGGCCACGCCAGTGACGACTGTTCGAAAATAAAACTCTTCAATAAGAAGACACGAGTAAAATTGCGTTAAAAACAGAAAAATCGCAGATATTTTCAGGCTAAGTACGCATGCTTAGTCACATTTTCACGAAACGAAAAATTTAAACATCCCTTCAGAATTTTCTAGCAAAAAATTCCACAAAAATTTATCGACTTTACTGGCTACGAAGGAATAATCTTCAATTATTGGGGAGTGTACACTCCCTACATTCTCCCACTTTCGCGGGGTCTGCTTCTACATTCAATTGTGTTTTTTATTTTTTCGATGATTTTGTATTAATTTTGTTCGCAGATCTTCGAAAGTAACAGATAGTGACAAGGCAAAATTTCGATCATGAATCGATGCTTTCAAACAGACATGAATTTAATTACATTTTCTGATAAGCATATCTGTCTTAGAGATAGTCATGAAGCAAGAAATTCGCAGTACACTGATATTTATGTTGATTGCAAGAAAATCTTTCAGCTATAACATATGTCGAATAATGGGTGTTATTCATGAATATTATTCATCAAGACATGTAAGCTGAAAAACCTGCTTCAAAAAGCTTCAAAATCATTTTAGAGTTCTGTTCGAATACACACATATCATCATACACAAAAGTTCATATATATTTCTTTTTCCTACCCTAGAAGTGGAATATTCAACTTTCTCTCTGATGTTTTCTATTTCGTAATATAATTGATTACCATGGAGCTTCAACAACCTTTCCATCTATGTTCAAAGAAGTAAAAGCCATTGAAATTATTATCCATGTCAGAGTATAGTGGCCATAGGCATTTTTTGAATAACTTTAAAACAACAAAAGAGAAATAACTCTGGTTTCTAACACTATCTAGAGCCTACATTGTTCTATCTTTTTACAAGGTCAATGAAAAACTCTAGTCACTTTTCTTCTTGGATACATCACGAGCTTTGAAAATGAGCTTAATCTGTCGTAAAAACAATTATACTTTCTCAACTATAATATAATGGAAAAATAGCCCAACTTCTCTTCTATTGATCCACACAAGATTGAGATCAATAACTGTTTGTGTTCAAAAAATATAAAGATTTTATTGAAAGGCTACTCACCACATTTTTTCAAAATCTAAGCAGCTAACTAAATGTTTTCTTCTATAAGTTCTTAGTCGTCTTCAATTTCGTGACATGATTTATTAATCTTTGGAGGTTTTATTTCTACTAAAAATTTCATCAAAAATCATACAATGAATTTTCTTGATGCTAATGAATCAATATCTTAAGTTAATTCCCGTCAACCTTTACTTTATTGGTATTACCATTGCAAAAATTTTCTGAATCCAAATCAACCGACCGAAAAGAATTTCTGGTTGTTCACATAAATTCATCATGATAATCATTGATCATCAGCGTTATCTGTACTATAGGTGTTATAATCATCGTCATTATGATCATTTAGTCCTTTTTCAATCTTTTCAACATAAACATCAACCTCTTTAAATATTGCTTTATATTATTTGATATGGTTGATGTAACTGGTTGCTTCCATCATACCGAAGTCATAATCTATTCTTGTGCCAATTTGCTTACTTCGGGTAAAGCTAACTTCGTGCTTCTCTCATGAATACATCTTTTCATATTGGTCCAGGCTCACTCTACAAGGGTCAGGATACCATTTCTCATTGATAAACGTAAAAAATAATATTAGTGTAGAATACTCATGAATAGGTTACATTTTCCGTAAAATATTAATTGGATACTGTTTTGCTTCTTTGTTCGCCTTATTTTTTTGTGGTAAATTATCATACACCAACTGTAATAATTTTTTGCTTTGGAAATATCTTTGGCGTATGATACATAATGATCATGAAGCTAGTCAGCTATCATTTGTTTTCGCCATGAATGTAACGATGGTTTTGTATCATCTGTTACGTCACGATGCCATGGAGCATTATCGATAATAATAGTTATCGCACGAGTTTTTTGCTTTATAAAAGATGTAACAGAAAACTAAATAATCAAAAATCCTACCAAATTCTTTTCATAGCTTGGAACAAGTTAGATCGATCCAATATATGAAATGTTTCGAATTCATTGATTGTGCTTAATCACATTTAAACCTCGCGATCGATGTATGGCGGAAACTATTGTCATTTATCAATGCACTTATAGCAAGATGAGTTCTTAAATTGCATGTTTTTATCAGTATTTATACTATATTAACTCAAGAGAAAGTCTACCTTTTCCCTGATTTGTACGTATTCTTCCATCACTATGCTTATCAACCCAGATGGCTTTTTTCCTCGCTATAGTTAATCCATGCTTTATCATTAAACGGAAGAGAATAGTTTAAAAAGTAAAGAAGAACAATTGAGAATTACTGATAATACATCAATGTCCCATTCTGACAAATTTCATCTGACTTTCGAAAATACGAAGCTGTTTGTGTAATAAACATTATAGAATTCATTGGCATATGTATTTTGCTTGTCTTTTCGTATGACAATTCAAGTTTCTTCATCACTCTCCATAGTGACGCAGTACTTTTCATTAGAAAGCCAGGACTGTCGATGAGAATGTGAGTAAGTAATTTGCTCGTATTTGGATATATCTTTTCTATATACGATCATTGATATTATATAATGTTATTCTTGGTCCGTTTTTTTCTCCTTCAACAAATTGAATTACATTGAACATTAATTCTTTTATTACTTGACTGTAATATTGACCTGTTGGCATTATAGTATTCAATTTGAAGAAAAAACACATTATAAATCATAAAATTATATATTGAGAGAGAATGATGATTTGCTCCTGTCATTACGTTTTGTTATGATCCTCTACTGCTGTGTTTCTCTACATTCTTTTCTCATTGTTTCAGGTTCCTCTCTAAAATGTCTGTTTAAGAAAATGTGGACCTTGTAGTATTGGTTCAAAACCAAAGTCGATACCACCCACATATTAGGACAGGTACAAATCAACTCAAAATTAACTTGATTCATCAGAAAACAATATTTAATTTATTCACATAGTGAACTGCAGTGATGGTGTAATACAATCATATTAAGTGAAACTATCCCATCACGCATTATTATATCACAGATTATCAATTGAACTAACTTAAGATATTGATATATTAGCATCAAAATAAATTCAATGTATGATTTTTTTTTATGACATTTATAGTAAAAAAAGAAACTGCAAAGATTAATAAACCACGGTACGAAGGTGAAGGCGACTAAGAACTTATAGAAGAAAGCTATTAGCGCAATCCCTACGGAGCTAAAATGTGAAACACAATAAAGCTGCTTCCTAGAGCCCAATCGTTACAGTCTGTGATGGTCTCTGGAGGCCGACTACCACAACCTGTGATGGCTTCCAGGCCCGTCTGGCACGGTTCTCTCTTTTGTTGTTTTAAAGTTATTCAAAAAATGTACGAGGCCACTTTACTCTGAAATGCATAATAGTCAATATCTATCCTAAATATTTAGTTCTCTTTCACAAAACCCATTTAATATCTGAACGATAATAATAATTTATTTTAAGACTTAGATCGCTTTCAAGACATGTTAATGTATGTACATAATTCTATCTCATCCAGCACTCAATGATTACTATTTGTAGAAAAAGCATCATATCATTCTTTATAGCCTGTACACCTTTCTGCATATCACCTCAAATCTACCTCAGTCAAAATCTTTTTTGTTTAAAAGCTTACCGTCTCTATATATTCTATCACGCCCTTTCAGATAATCAACCTATATAGAACAAGAACTTATACCATCAACAAATTGTAGTAATTTTTCTTATAACGAAAATTCTCATTTAACAACAAACTTATGTTCTCTACAAATTACAGCAGTTCTACTGCTCAAAAGCTTTCTCTAATCAAAAAGTTACGTTCTTTACAAATTGTAGTAACTTTTGTTAAAATCAAATAACTTTTTATTCAAATTTTTTAAAACGATTTATTTTTTATATGCGCTCTCATTGATCAAATCTTTAAAAATTAACTATCAAATTTGATCATTTTATACGAAACTAATAAATTTGTCAACTTTAAATCAACCGAAAATTTAAAATGTATGTTGTACTTAAACTTAATTTTCTTCATGTTCGCAAATGAGAAGTAACTGGCACCATAAACAGCCGTTCATGACATTAAACATCAAAAAGTGACGAAAATTATCATCTCAATTCGTAATCTCAGAAAATGTTAGAAAAACTGAGAAAGACTATGACGATTTGCTAGCTATTTTCAACAGCTCGAATGATGGTCGTAGGTAGAGGCAAAATAATTTTTCAATCTACTCGAGTTGATTTGAAATCCGTTCAATTAAGGAAGTGTATATTCTATGAAAAAATTAAGATTTAATTAACTTTAATAGATGAAGTTTATTGTATGGATACATTTAGCTTAGTTAATATATTTCAAAAATATATAGTCACACCTCAGGAGAAGCTAGTCGTTGAAAAATATTGATCATGATTATCCTCAATGGATGTTAAAACAATTATAGCGTCACTGTCATTACAATATGAAACTTTTATTCGAGAATTACACAAGAGATGTTTTTGGTATGTTGTGTACCACTAAAGAATTTTTCTGCCATTAAAAGTTGATTCTGTATGTTTAGCTAATACATCATGTATTTAAATATACGATTTAAGATCATCTTTTACAAATTTGTTTCACCAAACTTATTATTTATGCTTGACATAAATAAAATTTGCAAAGTGTCTTATAAGTGAAGTTTCCAAAAGTATTTAGAAACTTTTACAATTTTTAATTAAAAATTAAATAAAATAAACAATACATCTTATTGATGTACTTCAATAGTCTTATTACGAAAATATAAGGACAGCATCACATGATCAAAGATAGATAAGTGTAACAAGAGCCGTTCATTGAATTCAATTAAATTTTAATATACTCTTGAAACAAATTCTTGCTCAATGAAAATTCTCTGTTTACTTTATCTTATTAGACATTATCTTAGTAAAAATGCCTGTCTTGTTTTGCTTGTAAATATACAATTCGAACTTGTTGTGTTCATTCACAAATTAAAATCTTGAATTTTCTCTATCTATCATGATGAATCAATCGAAGTATCTCCTTCAAAGTTATCGATCAAATTTTACTAGATCTGATATTCGAGAAAGAAACTATAGTTGAATTTCATTGTAAACTATATTAAATTCATCTATTACTTGTTCAATTGTTCTTCAAAGAAAAGATTTTGACAAAGACACTTTCATAGAACCTTCAAATATTACACATTCTTGTCTACGTGAAAATATTAGTTCATTGTAAGAAAGACATACAATAATAGTAAATAAAAAAGAAGAAAAAGATGCATGTATATGTATACGTAGACGCACATACATAAGAAGTTCAATATTATCATAACATAAAAACAATTCAAGCAAACAGAAATATGTCGAGTCATTCTTTCGCATTTTTATCAAATCTATGAATATGTACATTAAAGTAAGAAATCTTTAACTCCTAATGTTACTTTTTTTAGATAACGATGACTGCTAAAATAATGAAGATAGGCTTATTTTATAAGCACAACATCTTGAAGAATTTCTCTTATTATAGATTAAAGTAATAAAAGTAAAAATAATATACTCTTGTTCTTTAATTCTTATTTGTGCTGTTATTTTCAAGAGAATAAATATAAGTATATGTGCAACTTCAAACTCCATGTAATTTCTAATCTTCATCATACTTTTTGTTCGCAAAGATTTATGATATCAAAATGTCCTATTACTTTTTCCTACGAATTCATGAATATTTAAAGAAAACAAATAGCACGGAAAAAATATCTACAAACAATCTAAATATAGTATGTCCATAGTACATAACAAATATTCTAAATCATGTCATTCCTTTAATGTTTGTTAGATAATTCATTTAATCAGAAAATTAATTTTACCAAATGTTTAATGTAATCTTTATTGTTGATAAACTTCAAACTATCTTTCATAGATAAAAAAAAGAAACATCAAGCAAGTTATTTTAAAGCAATGGTAAACATAATTAACACCCTATCACAACAATAATAATAATAATAATAACATCCCATAAAGAAAGACAACAAATGAATCCAACAATCATGTAATGACAAGCATTTATATGACTACGTTTTCGAGGAATATGGTAAGTCAATAGTACTGAAGCATCTCTATCAGATGATTCATGTCAATTATAGATCGGTATTTTAGAATTAATCAATGTAGTAAGAAGAATAAGAAATGTACCAAATGTCAAAATACTTTTAATAAATGGTATTAAATAATAAAGATAACGTACGCATATAAATTTTCGATTAATCTAAACAAAATTAAGAATTTAATTAAATCATAACAAACAAAAAAAAACAAACCAAAATAACATGCATTATTTTTCTTTACTGCATAATTAAGTGTAAGTTATGAAAACACTAGATGAAAATATGTTTTGGATAATTGAAACAGCTGTATGACTAAATAATGCGATATAGCTTCTATTCTATATATCCATCATGGTCTTCAAAAGCCAATTCATAATTAATACTTTCTATAAGATCAACAATACCAACTTGAGCCGTACATAAAGCAGAAAACTTTCCTAAACCTAATATAGTTGTTGAGTCTAGCATGATTATATTATATCAATAATTATGTTTCATCATCATCATCGATGGAAATAACTATAATTTATATATTTAACTAATCAATATTTTTCATTTATTGAACATACTTAATAAGCTACAAGTAAATTTTCATTTAAACGACTTGAAAATTCTTCTTCAGAAATTTCTAAAATTGAATTTGATGTTATTGCAACAACCAAAAAATAGTCATATATATTTATTTACAGAATTTCAACTTTAAAAAAGTTTACAAACCATTATTAATTGTTGACATAAATAAATACGAATTTTAATTTCATTAAAGAATATCTAAAATTTCCTGTATTTAATCCTCTGCTAGAACTAGTAATAAGTACAATATCATTTAGAATATTTTGTTTCCGTTGTTGGAAATATATAAGGGCTAACAACTTGTATAATAGCATGCACTATTTCAATAATAAAAACTAAAGAATACTGAAATTGTGTTACGTAAGACCATATTAATTATTTCAAAAATTTTTTAATGAAAGACAATCATGTCAAGATAACAAAGATGAAGTTCAAATCTAGTTTAAAGAGATAATTAGGATTAAAATTATCTCGAATTCTGAATTATTTTGCTTATTTAGAATTTCAATACTGTTTCGTACTTACTCGAAGGAACTCCTATAAGTTTTAAAGAGAAACAAAAGTATTTCGTTCTATTAAAACGTAAAATTAATGTGACATTCCACTGCGAAAAAAAAATAATTTTTTTTAACGAAAGGACGATCTAGAAAATCCAGCTTAACATTTAAACTTAACATTTCAAGGTCATTTTTCATTCACCTTTTATCAATTCTATACAGAAATATCACATCTCGAATGAGTACCCTTCTCAATCGATCCAGTTTTGATACAAATTCAACTTCACAAATTAGAACAACGCATTAGCCATAAAATTAAACAAAATAATTCGTAATGATTACGATTGGTTCAAGTAGTATCATATTTCACGAATAGAATTATCTATCAATGACGACCTGAATTGTATTTGTAAATAATCAAAATACTCTTTTTTAATGTTCGCTTACGATATGAACTTTTCAGTCAAAATATATTCATCCGTTTATTCAGCAATAGAAACTTTAGAATAAATTTTCTTGATTATTGAATTTGTATTCAACTTCATTTTGTATTTTACATAATTTTACAAATAATAATTTCAATTTTACTTTTGAAAAAGCTGAAATAATTACTTAATTCATTTTAAAATAAATATAATTAAAACAAGTTTCTCTTTGATACTTTATATCAATACATATCAAATTGTTTTCAAAATTTTGTTATAACTTTTATTCTTGAATTTTTTTTTCTCTCAATGAGTCATATTTGCTTTAAAAGAATGAGTCATCATAACGTTATTCTTTTTCTCATACGTCTCTCATTCATTCATCGCCGTATTTTGCCGTGTGATGATGTATATAAACGAAGTGAATCGAAATAAACAGACTCATACTTACTTTCCTCTGATTGTCTCAGTGATCATCAATACTGAGCATCCAGGACGAGGTTTCGGCATTGCACTAAGCTGCAAACTAAATCCTGCTTTCGCTCCACATCGGGGCGAAGAGAGAGGTTAATTTGTTAGCAGTGTCTCTGCGTTCGCGCTCAGACCGTTTTATTAAATGAAGAAAAAAAGTAAAATTCATGTAAAATTATTTTCAACTCAGCAGGAGTTTATTTTATCGATGTAATTGTCATTTTTCTTTCTTGTTTTTTTTCTTCTTTACATCATGACAACAAAATCACTAGTAAATGATGTTGAAACTTCTCTTTTTCCACCATCTTTATTCAATATTCAATATCCAAATTGTCGTACAGGCATGTTTAGTCTTCGTAAACCATTTCAAAATGTAAAAACAGAATTTGTTCCAATTGAAAAAAGACCATTATCAAATAGAAATTTAACAACACCAAGTCTACAACCAACTAATTACACTGCTAATCAAGGTTAGTTTTTATTTTTTCTCTTATTTGAATCAATGATTTGTATTTTAGTACCATTAATACATGAAAAACCTATTGAACCTGTATTTATACCACCTCGAAAATTATCAAAACGAAATGCTGAAGTTCAATGTTCACTTTTAAAGCCAACTGTTCATCATGATATGGCTGTACAAACAAAAACTCATGGACAACGAAATGTAGTAAATGATTTCAATGATAATAATGGTATAAGTCCTCGACATCGTCGTCAAACAAAATTACAACCAATTGAACAACCACAAGAAATTTATGAAATTCAGGATATTGAATCATCACCCTTACGAATAATACCAATAAATCAAACAAAAAAATTTAAAGAACAAAATATAAGATATGTTAAAACTAGAAAACCAATCATAGATTATGATGATGATGATGATGATGACGACGAATCCGATGATGATAGTGAAGAACGAATTATATATGCAAGTCAACCACAACAAACAGTTAAAAAAACATATTTACCACCAAATGTACGCATGATTTGTGTGAGAGACGATACAAAAAAAGGTTTTTAATTAACAAAAAATTTTTGTAAAAAATATTTTACGAATGATATTTTTTCTATATGTAGTCATCTCATTCCCGGAAAAAAACGTATATGAGAAGTTTGATTGATGTTTTGAATTTCAAGAATCAAATTTCTTTTTCATTATAAGTTGCATTGTCTATTAGACATGAAGATTCAATATTTCGAAAATATAAAAGATTATTCTTTTGCCGCTAACAAGCAAAAAAGAAAGATAAATATTCCATATAGTGAGTACGATGCCATGATTGTTGTACAGCCTATTCAATGATGTCATATGATATTTACAGATGTGAAAAGAACGAAATTTTCAAAATGAAATAAAGATTTTGCTTTTAGTATTTATCAATTACGGAGTTTTAATTGTAGATTTACTATAGTTTCAAGAAAAATGCAATAAGACTTCTCCACTTCTATGTGTTTCAAAATATCAACAAAAATGATATGAATAAGCTTGCGACTATCCCTTATTGATAAGATGTATGAAGAAACAAATAAAAGATTTGATATTCTTATATCGTTCTACTATTTAAACTACTAGTTTTTTTTATCAACATCGAGGTCCTAAGAATATAGATTTTCAAGTCTAGTTGAACAGAAAAAAGTTTAATAACATGTACATGGTCTTATTATGATATGTGATCATGTTAGGAATAATAAGTGAGAGTTAAGTCACAATGTCACCAATGATTGAATTCTGTTGGTAGTAATGAATAAACAATTTACCTATTTGCCCACGAGATGACGTCTATTTTGCTTAACTATTGTATTGAATTGTTGAAAAAATCAAATCAAATTGATGTTTGCTTTAAATTCATTTGTCATTATGCTGTAATATTTTGCTTTAAAATCTAAGGCACATATTCATTTATTTGTTCAGACGATTCAGATATCGTTTATGAATAAAGAATATATCAATATTAGATAAATAGTACAAATCATTTGAAAAATAGTTGTCAGAAAAAATCGTGTTCGATATAAATCTCCTATCCAAGGTTACATAATAACAATTGTGGTAAGTTGAAAAACTATAATAATTGTTTTGTAGTATCAATAGTGAAATAATTATATCATTGATTAATACAAAAAAAAATCATCATCTTTTCTTTTGACAAAAAAGATTTTTTTGTGCCCAATCGAATCCTATTGTAAATCGTATGTCATGATGCCTTGAAAATACTGTCGGTACAAAAATATCGATGGTACAAACAGATTACAGACCTTTTTTATATCTCTATCTCAAAACGTGCTCATTCTTTTTCGATATTTTATGATCGTAATAGAAGTCAACAACGAATAACATTGAAATTTATTCTCATGTTTTTTTTCCTATTTATCTCCCTCTTACATTTACTTTTGACTTTTCGACCGAATAAGATAAAAGTACTTTGTACTTATATAATGTCAGAGTATTATTATTGAATATAATCAATTAAAATATTTTGATCGAGATAAATTTTTCAACAATAGAATAAATTTATATTCATTGGTATTGTTCGTAAAAGTTTTATTTCGTAATTTAATGATTAATATTCGTTACTTTTATTTATTGTAGAGTTTCATATTAACGATTTTACAATTCATTATTTTTATTTTATGACTTCGTCAAACATAATATAGTATAAGCGAGGGTTATTAACTGAGGAGACGACGGAAAAAATCAGCTTTTTCCTCTTCATATATAACTATCATAAATGAGGTTGTTTTTTTTTGTGAATAAAATCATGTGAATCAATTTTTATTTCTATTTCATTGTTGTTTTGTTTCATTGACTATTTACTGAAAGAGAGTAGACTAAATCAAATCGGATGTTTTATAAAAACTAACTATTGTTAAATAAGAGACAAAAATAAGGTAAGTAAATGAATAGCCTCTGGAATTGTTAATAATGATCATAGAGGAAATGTAAAGTGACATTTAATTTATATTATATACGAATTTTCTTTCATGATAGAAATCATTCTGTCGAACATAACAAAAAAAAAATCAAAGATGATCATCAAGAGAATCTAGTGAATTTGAAGATAAATTTATATCCTGATTGAATTGACCAAATCATGATTGCATTGTTCTTTTTCTAGGTTAGTTGCTTTTTTTTGATTGGTTTATATTGGTACAAGAAAACGTGAAGTGTACTTCAGAAACTATGTTATTGACACATTGATTTTATCAAATAGGTACAAAACGAGTAGATCAAAGAAATGATGATGTGATTGATTCAGTTCTTTTTTTTCTTTCAAATACTCACTGAAGATTTCATACAAATAAAATAATAGATTTTTTCTTTAAAATTTTGACACTAATTGATGAAAACAAGTCTATCCTAGTAGAAATCAGCAATCCAAACTATCTGATATTTTATTATTAGTATATTAAAAATGCTTGATTGAATGTTCTTTTTTTAACAATATTGAGTACAGGGTTACTGCTTAGGTATCTTGCAATGAGTGCAATCATTGGAGTAGAATTCTATGATGATAGTTTTCTAGTACTTTGAGATCATTTTTTTTCTATATTTATCTATTTATATATTGTTAACGAACAGGATATTAGAACTCATATATTGATGGAATACATCGTCTTGCTAATGTTGAATTTAATCCTATCTAGGCATACTATAAATTCATCCGCTTATTTAATTTCCTGTCTTCTCGTCTAATCTTTGTTTTGATTTTTTTCTCAGTTTTTTTTTTTTGAGCTTTAACATCCTATGTAACGTTCAACCTGTTGTTTGTATCTGTATGAATGTATTTAAGCATAAGTAGTGCGAAGTGGTAAGTGGAATTTATAGAGAATGTCCAATCGAGGATAAAATCTTGAATTAAAAGAAGACATGAAAGAAAGAAACCGATTGTTAGTGTAATCGAATCATTGTAAAGAAGTAAATAGAAATAAAAAGATCTTGATCAATACTATTAGTATAGTTGAACAAAAGAAAGAAATACCAAGATTCTCTCTTTTAGTTTCTTCTATCTTTTGTTATTGTTTAAATATTAATTTATAGTTTTTAATGATTTATCTAATATATTAGTCCCTAACACTCGAAAAATACATTATTGATGAATTGAAAAATCATAATAATAAAAAAAATAAAAATAAAAGAACTAAAATTATTATTAGTACCGTTTAAGTGATCTGTATCGATATTATTGTTTCGGTCGAATCTAATGCAATTCTTTATCTCATAATATTATTCATATTTTTCTATATATCATGGCTACGGGCTTCAGTGAATAATCATTGCTATATGTCGACAAATAACAATACGATCTGTTTGCCCTTTTCTTTTATTATCTTCTTTTTTTTCCTCCATCTATCTTAGCAAAAGAAATATAGCAACGAGAACAATGTGACTGACAATCATATCGCTTTGATTAAGATTATGTCTTGTTTAGAATTCAATTATTACTTGTCTAAAATTCATATTTGTTTGTTCATGTTACTGGTATAGATGTCAATCTTTTTTTTTTCCTTCGATTATATTTGTTTGGTCCAAAGAACATATTCTTATATTTGTCTCTACGAAACCAAATCGATCAATCATATTCTTATTCTTGAGTAACCATGCTGATCTTGTCCTGTCTATCAATCTATGTAAGTCATTATCAATGGTAAAAAAACATAGAATGTTCGCTTCTATACTTTCTTTTTTATGTTGATCTTGGAAAAACATCAGTTGTGCACAGCTAAATATAGCATAAAATCAACATTCGCTTTTCACCGTTTTTTTTCCTTCTCATTTTACTTTATGCAAGATGTATGTCTGTCTGTAAGCGTCCGTCCGCTGATTTCCTCTTTCCGATTAAAATTTTACAAGTTGCTGAGAAGCTCAGTTGATTTGATTACTTTGACTTGTTTTCTTGTTCTGTTTATGTTTTGAGGATCAATCAGTTCGCTATTCACCTTTAGCAAAGTTCTATTTTATCATATAACTCGCCCTTTTTTTTTCTTGATGTATAATATGTTTACATACGCATATTCATATCCAATACGTATTCATTATATCGCATCATATACATAATGAGATTCTTGGACTAGATGCATTGTGTTGTTCTCAATGGGTGAATTATCAATGATGATGACGATAGGTTGTGCATGTGTGAGAGAAAAAAGAAAACAATATTTACCTTATCGATGTCTCGTTCTCAACATTTGATGCTCTTTTCTCTCTCTATTTATAGATAATACTTTGATACCGTCACTATCTCTAGCTTCAGTCTGGTTTTCACGGGTAAGATGTACTTATATATACATATATATATATATATGGATATGCAATCATCCATTTGAACTATACAACAAAAAAAAAAAGAGACGAAGAAATGGACGACCAGATGTTCTTATATTTTATCGCTTTATTTCTCTGCCTTACTATATTGACACAAATATCATATTTGCTGATCTGCACAGGATTGATCTAGGATCAATGATTGACTTAGTTTTAATGATGTCAGATTCGATGATTGATTGGCTTATCAACAAGACAACGACGTCTACACATAATGACATCAAGAAATGGAACGTGTGAGATCAAATGAGATAGTGATATACCATTTCCAATATACAACGTCGGTATTTATGATAAATGTAAAAAAACTTCATCTTATATCCAACTTTCTTGTTCTCTAAATATCAATCATGTAAACGAGCTACATATCTCATTCTAAGGTTTGAGTAAGTGACAGAACGTGCACATAAATAGATAATTCTCATTTGTTACTATATTACCACAAAGGTTAATCATTATTATAGGATTCTTTGTCTTTTTGTCTATTTTGTTTTTTCGTAGCAATCATAAAAGCAATAAGTTGTCCAGATATTTAATTGTAAGTAGATGTTATTAGCTTTCTCCATTTACTGTTTTCGTCAATAGCTAATGTCAGAATTACATTTGAATGAAAAGAGCAAACTACGTCAGTGAGTTATATTCTTGTTTTTGTGCGTTAAACACTGTGTATAGGATAGATTTTCATCGTTATTTATTGTTTCCTTTGAATATTCAACTGAAAAAAAAAAAACTAATTTTCAGAGTCTTCTTTGTTGTTATATTAGAAATCTATCATTTTTTTTCCTCCTAAATTTTTTTGATATTGTATTAAATAAAAATAGTAATACCTACGTAACTAATTCTTTTCGACTATTTATTTACTTATAAACTTATCTTTAAAATAGATTAACGAACCTTAATCTTCATATTGTCAAGAAAGACAAAAATAAGATTTAAATATAGTTTTATGTCTTTATTTCTTTTTTAATACGAACTAAACATGTGAACGATCGATTTCTCTAGAAAGAAAAAAATAAAGGATAAAAGCGATTTCTATGCTTTATTCAAGTGAAAAAGTATTTTTATTTATAGAAATAGAAAGAAAAACATTGTAGCCATATTTTTTGCTTTTCTAATGAATACGACAGGGAGCCGCTCAACGATAGTAAATATTTTTATAATGTATTAATATTTATAGTAAGTATTGAAAGAAAAACTCGATAAAAGTAAATGATTATGTAGGATTTTTTTTTCTTTTTGACAACACACATTTAAAGCTATTTGTTGATTGTTTTACTCTAACTTTCATAGATAAATTGTTTATTGAGTTAATTACGTCGTTGATGCTTGTCTTCAATATAATATTTGATTTTCTACCGACATGAAGGCTTCATATCTAATAGTAATGTCATCTATATTTAACTGACCTCCTTTGTTAATGGACCAATTGACGTTAATCATGTAATTAGAAGAATGGTACAATTGATAGTTATCAGTTATTTTGCTAATGTGATTGTTTTTTTTGTCATTGATGTGTACAAAATAGAAAAAGCGCAATGATGCGCAAGATTCATGTGATTGAGGAAACTAAGAAAATAGAGAATTAATCTAGACTATTTTTACACTTTTTTTCTTGCACACACACACTCTCTCTCTCTTCTTTTCTCGTCTATTTTGAGTCCTTCATCTGACCTTCCCTGTTTGTCTTTCTCTCTCTTCAGTTTATTACTCTTTTTTCTCTTATGATTTAAAAGAAAAACGGCGTCTGTTTGTTTTCGTAACCATACCATTTCATACTGTCTAATGTTGATATTGACATGGTGTCATTTTTTACTGATTCTCGAAATTCCTAAAAGACAAATAATTCTTTTTTTTTTAATCGGATACCATATAAAGTAAGTTAGATAATGTCTTACTAATTGTTCTTAAATGACGAATATACTGAAGTGGTAATTATGATGATGGCAGCAATACCACATTTTTTATTCTATCTATTCTTGCGTTTTTAAGATAAAAAATTAGGAAAGAAAAGAAAAGAACAGTCATGCTTCACCTCGGTTTTTTTGTACCACTCTTTCTTTCTCTCTCTCTCTTTTTTTTTTAATTAATTTTGTCGATATCACAAAAAAAGGAACAACTTTCCTTCTGTGCTCTAAATATGCTAGTAATATATATATATAAATATTAGCGCTTGGCTATTTATTAATAATGCTGTTATATTCTATGATTGATTACAAATAATTGAACATAATTATTATTTAATTCTTTTCTTCTATATAGATCATTAAGTGTATGAATCCTTTTTTCTTTACGTAAGTGTATATTCGTTTTGTGAAACTATATAATCTTTGCTTGATATATGAAGTTAAACTGATAGGTAAGATTTTAGTGAATAAAAATAGTTGCATTTGTGTTGTCACCATTTTTGATAAAAAAAAAAAGACACATTGTAACGAACGAATGTTTTGGTGTCACTTGACAGGTATGCGTATATACATGGATCGAGTGTGTACATCGGTAGAAGAGAAAATTGATGCAAAAAGAAAAAAACGAAAGAAAGAAGTGCATAATGTGGATTGGAGAATATTTGTTTTGAAAGTAAATTGACTTTGGCAGTGGCATGATGGTTGATGCGATTGCATATATGTGCTTACGCATTGAATAAGAAAAAAGAGAAGAAAAATAAATTTTGACAAAGAAAATCGAAGATCTATGTCATATTGTTTGTATGATGACAATATAGATATATATATATTTAAATAGTTGTTAAATCTTATTTCCTTTTTTTTCGTTTTTTATTCTGTTTGTAAATGAAAATTATCGTTTAATATGGAGCTATAATTGCTTACGTGACTTTCAAAATAAAAAAATAACGAAATTTATTTACTAAAGTAAATACAATTTATTTTTTTCGTTGAAAAGAACAGAGAATCAAGGACACTCGGCATATATTTCGCATACATTTTATTTATTAATTTCTATAACCATTATTTCTGAACCGGATAAGAATAAATGATGAAACTCAATTAATATTTATCTTCTTTTTCTTATTTATTTATTTATCATATACTAATCTTGAGCTTATATATATATATATATAAATAGATAGATAGATAGATAGATCATCAGTTAAATCTATTTTATTCATTTTTTTTATGTTTTAGACAACAATATTTGATTTAATAGCAGCGATTATATTTGTGTCGCTGAAAATCCGTTGATTATCATTCTTGTTGGTTCTTTTTCACATGATTATTTGTTTTCGCAGTTTTAACATTAACATCAGTCGATTGTTCACATTCGTCTGTCTTCTCAGCGTTCTTTCTAGTTTTCAATATAACTTGGTGCTTGCCATTCGTGCACCTCCTGGAACTCCAAAACGTACGAATCTACCATTGAATAGAACAGTAACATTACAAAAAACAACTATTCAAACAACAATAAACCGAACAGATAATTGTGTAGCTGAAATAATTGATGAAACATTATATTTCTTTTCTGTGGGGTATCGAGCAATTTCTGGTGCACTTGTTGTGCCAATAACAATTTGCGCTATATGCGGAAATACTCTTGTTATTTATGTTATTAAACATTATCGTTCACTACGTATTACAGGCAATGTTTTTCTCGCCTCGCTTGCTGTCGCTGATGTTGGTGTTAGCACATTGGCAATGACATTTTATGGGTTACAATTACTTTTTGGAAGATGGCTTTTTGGCGCGGTAAGTTAATTCATGTGATCAATGAATGTTAATTCCCTGAAGATGTATATAGTTTTCTTTCATATTGCGAGCTCAGCAAGTTAAACTATTTAGTATTCTATTTACGAAACATTTGTGTACATAAATGAGTCAAATAAATGCTTCTAGTAGCGAAGTAGTCAATAATAAATTTTCTTCCTTCATTTATTGAGATCGATGATTGTTTTTTTTTGCTTTATACGAAATGTCTGAATGTGAAGAAATTCATCAAAATAAGATGATGTTTCGTTTTCTTCAAGATTGAAAAATGTTATTTTAAGTCATAGATATTTATACAATCAAAACGATTGAAAACTAAAAATACACGTGATTCTATGTTTGCTTAAAAATTCTCAAAAAAAGAAAACAAACATTGCAGAATGTATTAAATATTTCTTAGAATAATTATACATTCAAATAAAAAAAAAAAGAAGAACTATGCAAAGAATTTTCGTAAATATCATAGTAATTCATAAATGAAAATCTATTACGATAGTATTTTATTGTAGTTCATGTGTCGTTTATGGTTTTCATGTGATGTTCTATTTTCAACAGCATCCATAATACATTTAGCTTGTATATCACTTGATCGTTATTTATCTATAGTGCGTCCATTTGAGTATGAAAATACATCATCAGATCGACGACGTTATATAATGATATTCTTTTGTTGGTTTGTATCAGGTTTACTCTCGTTTATACCAATATTTACTGGTGTATATACAACACGTGAACAACGACATAAAATTGATTGTTTAAATTATGTTCCTGGTCGTTGTATATTTGCTGTTAATCAAGCATATGCTATTATATCATCATCATTTTCATTTTGGGTTCCAGGTGCTATTATGATTATAATGTATGCTATGTTAATACGAATAGCTGATAAAAAAGAACGTGAAGCATATGAAATAATGGATGCTGTTGCTCAACGTCGACGTGCATCACAATTAAATCAATATTCTACTCGTCGACGATCAAGTGAAGATCATATAATTACTGAAACAACACCAATGACACAACAATTACAACGTAATAATCAATTATCAATAACAAAAATAAGTAATGGACATTCACATAATCTTCGTCGTGAAGGAAAACATGATAGTCTTGATACAGTAGCAGGTCGACAATCATCTGTTGATTTTCATGGTAGTATAAGTGAAACACGCAATACTCAAATGAAACATTTAAGACGTGAACGTCGAGCTGTTAAAACTTTAGGTTCAATTATGGTAGCTTTTATCATATGTTGGCTTCCATTTTTTGTTCGTTATACAGCATGTGAACCAAATCGTTGTAATTGGAAAATTGGACCACTTATTGCAGATATTGTTTTTTGGGTTGGTTATTTTAATTCAATGATTAATCCGTAAGTTAAATAATAAAAAAAAGCTTTTCAAACAAGATATTCGATTTTTCTTTTTTTTTTTTTGTTTCAGATTTTTATATGCTTTTCATAATAGAAACTTTCGTGTAGCTTTTAAAAAAACTCTTAGCCGATATTTTGTCTGTTGTCGAAAACGTCGTGCAAGTACAGGTAGTTCAGTTGCATTACCACCAGCAACACCAAGTGGTGAATCACAAAGAACAAGCTCAAATATGAGACGACTTAGAAACCATAAAGTTATTCGATCGATATCAAGCATTAATGAAAGACAAATCCTAAATAAAAATAATCGTAGTCCTGGAAATATTGTCCTTGAAGCATCCAATGGAAACTTAAGTGGTGCAGAAAATAGTTCATCATCAAAACGTAACTCTTGCCTTTAAATAAACAAACTTTACTGACAATTGTTTATCTTTATTTTACTATTAGCATCTATTTTTTGAGTTGTATGTGATGAGTGCAGTTACATAAAAAAAAAAATAGAAGCCTACTGTGATTTCTTATCGAGTTTTTTTTTCTTTTTATGTGCTGAGTTTCATATTCTATTGTCATTGTATAGCTGAATGTATAATGCGATGCCGATGTGCTTCATCGCAAGCCCGGTGAGCGATAATTGAGTCTTTTATTTTTATTATCTAATTGTTAAAGTAAAGCAAAAAAAAACGAATGAATATGATAAACAAAAAAATTAAAATAATCTATAAGGTAATTGAAATTTTTTTTTCCTTTTTGCTATGATATAAATAATAATAATAAGTAATAACTGTAAGGATTGTAATGAAAATTGATGTCACAGTAAAAACGAGAAAAAAATTTTCTTTTTCTTTGACTGAAATTTTTTTATTATGTAGTTTACAGTTAGTAAATGTCTTTTGTAGATTTACAAGTACAAATGTGTGGTTTTTATAAGATAAATGAAATAAAAGAGTCATCAATAACAAGTCTCTATCTATCGGCAAACTCGTTTGCGTATAAAAGAATTATTTCTATATCTATCTGTCTATAGACTAGGGTAACTCAATTCGATAATCATTGACATAAACAAGACTGAAAAATAATAGAAAAAGAATTGGATTATTGTTAGACTTTCTAATCAAGCAATAAGGCATATCGATCAGTCTAGAAATAGCTATTGTTTTCGCCGTTATAATCAGTAAATTGTTTGTATATTTAAACACATGTTCTTCAAATGAGTTTTCAATGGTAGGTTAAAGAGTATGATGATATCTTCGACGTAGAAAATTACACTCAAATCGATCACGAGAAGTATCAATTATAATATTATGTAATACTAGCTATCATTCTATTTTGTTGACAACAATATTTTGCTACTACATCAATATACATTTTTTTTTTCTTATTTTATCGACAATTTGTTTTTCTATTCAGCAAAAAAACTATAATCAACTTATTCATCAGTTTGATTAACATATTTTTACTAAATTACTTTGAAAAATAGAATGAAATGCTCGAATACTTGAAGAGTGAGAATAAATTTCCTGACTATTACATTGACATTTAAATTAATCATGATGATGTATTTTCATATACACTTATAAAATGGTTATGTTTTTCATGGGATTTGAATCAATAATGATATAGAAGATTGGTATTATCGATTGAAATCAAATATTGTTACGATTAATCCGAGCTTGTATATATCATACTCAAAGAATTGAAGAAGGATTACGCTTTTAATATAGTATTTGTAAAATAGGTATAAAATCAATAGAATAGAAATCCATCAAAGAAATAATATCCTTTTTGAAAACGAAGAATTATTCATTACATAGATCAGTATGTAAAAACGTTTGTTGATATCAAACGATTAAAATAAAGAGATCAGCAAAACTATAGATAAAAAAAAGTTTCTATTTACTCTATTGTTAGTAATAGTCAAAATACATCATGATCTATTTTATTTATATTATCGTTGTTTCTTTTTTCTGTTATTATATTTTATCTTTTCATCTAATGTTATTATTTTAAAGTAACATACTTTATATTGCTATATGTCATTCTTGTTTATTAAATTTTAGTCAACTATCTATACTTATTGATATTCTAAACTAATTATGCCAAGAAGTTGTTGACAAAATAGAAAAAAAAAATCTATCAATGAAATGAAATATTTCTTGAATTGATCTTAATTCGCGTAATGAAAAGGGACTCAATTCTAATTTTATATATTAAAGTCGAATTGGATTCGACATTTAACTGATTATAACGCTACTAGTTATTGTTAATTATAATCTTTATAACGAACAAAAAGATTAATGGATTACAAGCATCTTTTTTTTTTTAATCTGATGATTCCTAAAAAAAAAAGAACATAATTTCTTTGACCTTTTCAGCTAAATAGTAAACTGGGATTAATTAATAAGATAACCCTTAGAGGTTTTCTGCTGTTAGTTAGATTTGGTCGAGATAGCAACTTTTTAATAGATTTATCTGGAAAGAGTCTAGTTTTCGAAAAAAAAAATATATCTCGAAATTTCGACCTGAAATTGTGCACCCATAAAGATCTCAATTAGAATATTTCATATACAAAGATTCATCAGTTTTGGATATCGCATTTATAAACTATGGATTTCTCAATATATCTATGCTTTTCTTTAAGTTCCGTGTCAGATAGAGATCTATTGAAAAATTCATATCTTAACACTACAATGTCCACAAATGATGAAACTTTGTATATGAAATAGTCTAATCAAGATCTTTATCTGTACAATGTTTCAAGTCGAAATTCTGAAATATAATTTTTTCGAAAACTAGACTCCTGCGAGAGAAATCTACTTAAAAGTCGCCATATCGATCACATCTAAAAGCTTGTGGAGGCTATTCTACTCTAGTGATCTCCTACATATTGGCAAAATATGAGTATAAACGAAACGGATTATTTGAGAATATTTTCTCGTCAGTATAATCATATTATAATTAAAAAAAAGATAAACTTTTTTCTTATAAAGATAGAGAATATTTCTTGGAAGAGACATTCGGTTGTTAAGCGTTCAAAATGAACTAAAAATAAACTTTGAGTTTTTATTCAAACGTCAAATATGCTTTAAGGAAAAAAAAATTTCATGGAAAATAGCGACCTCCTACATAAATAGAAAAGAAAAAAAAGTCTATGAAAAACTATCTTTGGTAAGTAAATAAACCAATCATAAATTATTATTAATATTCTCACTTTTTTTTTTTTTATTCTTGGCTGAATTTATTTGTATATTCATAATGATCTTTTTTATTTTCTAGATTTTCTAACGATTATGATGTAATTAATTTTTAAGAACAATTGAATTTACTGTTCTTTTTCTTTTGAATAAATGTAAAAAAAATAAAATTTTAAAAACATGTCTACTATTTTATTTTGTATAATAATGTAGAACCATATTGAATTAAATATAGATTCATTTTTTTTATTTGATGATGGTTAAAATCTTGATCTCAAATATTAATACATATATTAGTTTCATATTCATTAACAATTGATTGAAAAGTATTCATGAAATTTTATAAAATAGTATTTCTTTTTTGTACTTTTTAGATTGTTTAATTTTTCCAATAAAATAATGGCAGCAACCATTAGAAATAGTGATAATGTTTATTCCAATGGGTCAACGTCCAACAATTTTAAAATTATTCATGATTGGTTTACTTCATTTGAAGTATGTATCTGTTTGTGAAGAAATTTTTTTTTTTGAATTTTTAATGATGTCCTACTACGTCTCAGGTAATTTTCTCTTCCTCTATGGATAAATGAGGTGCTAATGAAGCTAATATTTCAAAATTGCAAAGTGCTCTTTCGCCTGATTCTCATGAATAGAATTGCGTGTTAGTAATCAAGAAGATACTATGTGTGATTTATAATCTTTCTCAATTTTCTGCTTCTGACAGCGTCGCTAAAGAAATGCAAGGAGAGAACATCTTTCTGCTCTTGCCCTCCTTACTTCTATCCTTTCGCTATACTATATGTGCATCTTTGTATATTAATCATGAAAAACGAGTAGTTTGAGAAAGTAACGGCGAGAGTTGATCTTTTTCCTTCTTCTCCTCCTCATCTTCCTTTTGTCTTCTGTTGAAGACGCAAATCTTTTTTTCTAGTCTTATGCTTTTCTTTTTTTATTCTCCTAAGTAACAATTTTTTTTTTAAATTTTTGAGAAGCATAAGATTTCAGAGTAAATGATGAACAATGCGTTTCCAAACTACGGCATTTATCATCTCCCTTCTGTGCTTGGTTACACACTTTAACTCATATCTTTGCATGAACTATTCAAATCAATTATGAAAGGACTTCTCACATTCGTCATCTTTTCGCTTGCTTTCATTCGTTCATTTATTAATTCATTCAAGTCCAAAGTAGCATAATCCATATGTAATATAGAAAAAGAGAATAGAGCAATAAAATTACGTTAAAGGAAAAATAAGACATCTTGCTCGTCAGTCAAAAGATTAAAACGTGAACGAGATAGACGTGCTGAGTTAGGCGACAAAGATTATGTTCGCACGCACACATTGTTTCTGACAGGTGATGCTCACAGAAAGAATAAAGAAATGAAAGAAAGAAGTTTGTTCGCACGACTAGCTTTCACCTTCTTCTTTTTTTTTTTTACTCGTCTCATCGTTCATATGTGTGCGTGGTATCTCTATATTTAAGTAAGGGGAATGCATCGGAAATCAAAAGAGAAGAAAAAAGGGAAAAGACGTGAAAAGCATTCTTCTTCTTCTTCTTCTTTTTTTTTCAGGATGAGAAAGTGTCATCAACTTTGAACCACAATCCAAAGCTCAATGCTAAAATTCATTTAGCTATAACTGAAGAACCTTCAAATGTATGTATCAATAACTATACGTGATATTAATAGTATTATATGTCTTTAGTATGTGTCATCGATTTGTGATCATCTTTTTTCACTTTATCATAATGTACAACATCGGCTATTCGTACTTCAATTTCTTCCGTCATTCGTCATAACCTATTATGATGTTCTTTATCATCATCGTCATCTAGAATCAATTGATACTACAACTAAGGTAAAAATAGATAGAGTGCCATGATACTCGCTCATTATCATCGTTCATTCATCTAATGACTGGGTAACATACATACATCCTTCCCATCAGTATATATATATATAAGAGAAGAACAGGAAGCCTTTTACACAAATTGAGAGAGGAGAGAAAATGAGATAGAGAAAAACAGATGGAGTTTGTGTGAAAGTGCATGCCATACTTCTCTTGAATAGACAAGCAAAGTCTTAAAGACGACTTTACTTTTTCTTTTCCAGTTTTTCATTTCATAAAATGTAAACCTAAAACTAAAACGCCGATCTTTGCTAAAGCTTCCAATATTAAAATCTAATTAAAAAAATATATCGACATCGTTGTTTTAACAATAATAAATCGTCGAAGTAAGACATGACAAGAAGCAAAAAAAAACATGAAGATTTCATCGTGCGATGATAATAGGTTAAAAAGTTTTTTTTCATTAAGAGAACAATAAGGTAAAAGCGGAAATGAAAGAAACGAGAAAGATAAAGAGTTAAATTTGAAACATGTCAAACAAAGCTAATTTCGCTTTTCATCCCCATCATGAGCACACACACAAGCTAAATTCATAATGCGTCTTTGCCTGGAGTCGACAGCCACAGCATCATTATCATCATCACCATTGTCGTTCCTCCTTTTTGACAGCATCCTAGCATGAATAATCCGGCTGCAGTAGTAGGAGATGAGCGGCTTTCTTTTCTTTCTTTTTCTTTTTCTATCTTTTCTCTTACCGCCTGATTATCGTTATTAAAAAAAAAAAAGAGAGAGTATAAGCACGTCGCTTCATCATTTTTTTTTCTTCATCATTCGATGTGTCTTACTCTTTGCTTATAGGATGTTTGTTCAACAATTGATACTTTCCTTGTCGGCCTTTACAATCTAGTAAGTATAATGATACATACGTAATTAACATAAAAAAAAAAAGGTCAAGACATTGTCTAAACGGTAGTTAGCTATTGATAACAGTTGTCATAAACTAATCTGTATCAGTAGCTCTACTACTGAATAGCCAACATAGGTCATCGACGACGATTTTATTAATCATAATAGTCTAATATGTTTTTCTAATCAATAATTGACATAAAACAGAAATATTCATTTTTGTTTTGATCTATCCTATAGAGTGTGACGGATGATGGAAATAATGAAAAAACCTATGAATTTCGTAAGTGTTCTAAAAAAACGAAGAAGACAAATTTTTTTTTAATGTATCATTGATTATATGTTTTTACACTACTTTAAATAGGCGTTCCAAATTTGACTCTTCCATCTATTTATCATACACCGAATCCTGTAAGTCTTTCGGTTCATTCTGGCAAAGAAAAACCAATTTACACATATATATAAAACTTTAATAATCTAATATTTTATTTTCAGCAGACATAAAAATCAATTATCAATAGAGTTTTATGGGAATGTCATCTTCAAAGAAAACCACAAAAAAAGGAAATATTCTAACTGAAAAGAAAACAGCAAAAACAATACTTTAAAACAACAATAAATAATAATAATAAAAAAAAAAAGAAAACTTTATTAAATCAAAAAGAGGACAATCAAAACATAATAATTGAACAATATACAAACTAATATTGAAGATGTTTTTTTTTAATAGAACAAAGAAAATGAATTTTCTCTCAAATAAAAAAAAAGAAAATTAACGAAATTATATAAGAAATAATATTTGGTTTTAATAGAAAAGAAAAGATTTTAACTTAATTCAAAAGTAGTATTTATATTTGATTGAATAAATATTAATGAAAATAACATGTTCAATGATGAACAATTAATAAATTGATATATATATATGTATATACATATATTGATTTGTTTAATATGCACATCATGTTCTAAGAGGATTTGTTCTTAACTATTCTTCTTTCGAAACAGTAAAAATTTGTTGATCTCTGATAAGATATTTTTGTGAAACAGGTGTCAATCATTGGAAATTTTAACCAAAATGAATGTTCAAAAAACTTGATATCTTAACTTTTTGTGACGTAACAGAAGGATATAGTGAAATAGTCCACTTAACAATATCTAATTGATATTTCTATTATAGTTTTTAATATGGCTTATGATGGTAGCTAAACTAATAAATAGCATGAAGAAGTTTTTCATCATTATTGAAACTACTTCACATTATGTTCGATATTTGAATTTGTGAAAATTATAAAAACTCTTTTCTAGATCTTCAATAATATCTAGTGGTTAGAAGACTTTCTTTTCTTTAAATTTCTAATCTGAAACCGACACTCAATAAAATCCTCCTAATTTGATAAAGAAAATGTTTAATAATATTTTATTTTAAATTCCTATTAATCCTATTGAATTCTGCTTTTGGATTAAACATACATACATACATATATAGATAAAATATGAAACGTTCGATTTGATATTTTATTGAATATGAAATCAATAAATTTGTTTAATTTAGGATCATTATGCTCCAATACCGCTTACTCAATATGCAATATCGAAACATGAGCAAAAATGTGAAGTTATTCGTTTACAATCTTTTAGTCCATTTGATTCCGTTAATGGAAATACAAGGTAAATTACAATAATAGAAAACCGAATCTTTGTTAGAATTATGATTTCAGCAGTTCAAAACTAATGATCAATTATCAGGGGTTTGTTTTTAAAGATAAATATATTTTTTTGACTGACGGAAAAGAAAAAATTAACTATTTGCTTTATATTTTGACATTGTTTTTTTTTAATTAATTGCATGAGGTTTTATTTTTCTTATCTAGCATTGATATGGAATGGAAAATAGGCTCAAGAAATCTCCGTTATTTGTGTGTAGATCATGTGTGTTTGTCTTTAAAAAAAGAAAAGAACTCCTTTGACTAATGCTTTCTAACCAATGTTTTTTTTTTTTACTAAACGGATATATAATAATAAAAGTTTTTTACAAAATACATTTTCTTTTTTTGCAGAGAGCAAATTCTCTGGTTTCTTCTTATTCAATATGGTACAAATGTATCTTTCATGGATAAATATTCTCGACGATCATATATTAAAATGTCAAAAAAGTAAATAATATGATAATATTCATTTATACATCATTTCTTATATATTATTTATTAGATTACTTGGCCAAGGTTTTTCATTTAATGGTGATCAATCATCAAAAACAAAATCAATTTTACCACCAACTGGTCGTCGTATTCATGTAGCAAGTCGAATTATGTCGGAAATGTTAGGAACATTATTTTATTTTAAGTAATAAAGAAAATTTTTATTAGGAGAAAAAAAAAATTTCAATTTTTTCTTAGATTTAATGCATCAGAGAAGGAAGCAGATGAATGCATGCGTTTATTAAAACTTCGTGCAGAATATGAAATGTATCCTGATGTTATATTAGTAAGTGTTAATAATATTGTTGTTTTTTTTTTTACTGTTAATTTTATTTCAATTCATTAGATGACTGAATCAATGAAATATTTACATGAATTTGAAACTCAACAACCTGAACAACACGATACAATGGGTATTGAAATAGAATTACCACCAACAATGGACATAGTACGACAAAAACGAACAGCAACAACAAGACGTTCAATAAAAAATCGTCAACGTTCAAATAAACAAAATGATACAACAGGTACATTCAAAAACAAAAGCAAAAGTCTTCTTTTCATATTTATAATATTTAGAAAAATCAAAAGTTTCATGTGTATAATATAAAAAAAAAATATTTATAATTTGCTATTTTGCATAGTTTTTTTTGCTGTTTTTTTGTTTTATTTTTTTTTTTTTTAATTCTTTAGTTCTGAGTGAAACTAATATCAATGAAAATATAAATATTATACCTGCAACACCACCACCACTATCTGAACTTAATATGGTTGATGAAAATTCTCTAACAGTTGAATATAAAACTTTTCATGATCATTATGATGATGATCAATCATCACCAATAATTGATGAAGCACGATCCAATATTTCTTCATCAATTGGTCCAGCTACATCAACACCATCACCATCATCAACTCGTTTTTATAAACCAGTATCATTAACATCAACACAAACTTATTTTAATAATATTCAACAACAACAACCAAGTGATTCATCACCGACTTTACAACTCAAAACAAAGAAACATAATGATGATACAGAACCAATAACAATGTCAACATTACCATATTCATCTAACATAAAACATAGAGAAAAAAAAGATGCTACAACAACAGTTAGATTTAATGACGGTAAATCACATGGAAACGAAACAAATATTGAAGAAACATATCTTTAAAAGTATTTTTTTTACTTGTTCCGCATGCATAATGATTATTTAAGGAAGCATTCGTTTCACTTGTGTTTGTCTTTCTTTTTATATTGCATTTGTTTTTCACAGTAAAAAAAAAACAAGTATACGCATAATAAAAAAGAAATAAGTGAAAAGCTGTTTTTTTTTCATCTTACTTTTATTTTCTTTAGACATAATAATCTTCACTATAGTTTAGTTAGATATTATCCTGTCAGTAATGCTGATTATCACTTAATCTTTCATGAAGAAAGTCTTCTCATGAAATACATCATGAGTTTTTATTCCCTTATCGGCATTCAATTAAATCAACAAACAAATAATCAAAAATCTATTAGTTCCATTTTTCCCTCATGTGTTCAGCTTATGAAACATTTTTAAAAGAAGAAAAAACAAACAATCTATTAAATTTTTCTTTTTTTGTTGAGAAAAAATGAAAATCCTCGACAAAGTACTTTGAAAAATAATGTACTAATTTTTTTCTCGATAACTATCACGAGACATTATTCTTTAGTAAAAATACAGAAAAGAACGATTGATCATACCATTTGAATTATTTGTAGATGATGTTAATAAATTTCTTTTTAAAACGAACTTATCGTATAAATGTGAATACAATTCAATGGAATAAAACTATACGAAATCATCAATTAAATGGAAATTATCAACAAGCTTTAAAATTATTTCAAATAGGTATTGAAAAAAAAACTTTTCAACCAAATTCTGTTACTTATTTAACAATGCTTGATATATGTAAAGAATTAAAATCTTTATCAACTATACGTACAATTCATCATTTAATTGATTCATCAAAAAATCTTAATAATAATGATGATGATATTTATAATAATCCACGTATACGATCATTATTAATGGATGTTTATATTAAATGTCAAGATCTTGATAGTGCTTATCGTGTATTTCAATCTATGAACGAACGTAATATAATTGATTATTGTGGTTTAATGACTGGTTTTAATAATCAAGGACAATATGAAAAAACATATGAACTTTCAAAAAAAATTCCATCATCAATGAAATATTCATCACCACTTCTTTGTACACTTATATTACAAGCATGTACTGAATTAAAACAATATGATGATGGTTATAAAATTCATGAAAATGGAAAACATTTTCTTTCAAATAATAAAATGTTTATGAATGAATTACTTAATTTTTATTTAAAATTTAATCAAGAAAAACAAGCATTAGATATATTTGAAAAAAATTCAAATCAATTAACAATTATTGATTATAGTTTATTAATGAAATATTATAATCATCAATATCAACCACAAAAAACAATTGATTTATATTATCGTTTGAAAAAAAATTCACATATTCAAATAGATCATATTATTTATGTACTTGTTTTACAAGCTATAGCTAATGGATGTTGTTTACATACAAGTGAACAAATTCATGATCATATTAAAAAATTTGGTACAAATATTGATATTGATAATGCACTTATCAACATGTACGGTAATTGAAAGTCTATTTAATTGTTTTTTTTTTTTATTCAATATGATTGTTAAAATTGAGATATTTGGAATTGTTTAATGGAAAAACAAATACTCGAGTTTATAGATCTTGAGATTTACTGTTCTTTTTGCCTAAAGTACTGCTTCGCTTTGATAGATTCTTTTCATTCTATGTTACAGATTTATTTACTTTCATCAAATAGAAATGTATTGTACTTTCTTATGATAATTTGAAGAGAATGGAGATTATTACAGAAGATTCGTATGATTTAGAGACGCTCACAAATACACATACTGTGCCGAAAACAAAGTATGGATTTATATTTTGAATATACATAAGAAAAATTTTTAGCTGCTTTTAGCATCTATTGAAGTTTCATGAGATATTATCCTTGAAATACAGTGCTCTCTATTGCAGGGATCACCATAACTGTGACTGGACTTTGGCCACGAAAATTTACGGCCGTTAAAATAGATACATATTCTGTATTTCTGTTAACTGATCAGATGTTCTACAACACAAATAACTTTGTTTTTTTTTGCATAGATCCAGTATCTGTAACAACTTTTATATTTAATAAATGATCTACATACATCACGCATAATATAATCATAATTTATATTTTGGACAATAACAATGCTAAAATAAAGTCAAACTTTAGATATATGTATCTTCTCGTTTTGTTTCGAGAAATTAATTATATTAGATTTTTCTATGACAGTATATTTCTACTTGCAGCTGAATTACCCATTATTCACTTGATTAAATCAATTTTGCTATTTCAACAGTAGACTGATTTTGTTTTCTTTTATTTCACTTCAGCACATACTCGTTGCTTGTACTTATAGAATCGCTATATTAGACCTTTGTCAAGAAGATTTCTAGTTTACGTAAAGAAGTCCTACCAAACTAAAACCAATTTTCATTATTCACAGTCACAGTTACAGTAGTCACAACTCGTGACTGTGACCAAAAAACTTGATCCTGTCGAGTGATATTTTCAGGTTGATTCCGTCACTTCATCTAACACATTTGTTAAATGAATTTCTCATTCAACTTATACCATGATCAATATCTTGACAAATAGGAAAACATGTTTACATTTCGTATTAATAAAAATTCATTCTGTTTGCAAAATAGAATTGAAAAAGCTTTGTTCACTGTCTAATTACAAGTAATGTAACTTGCTTATTTGGAAATTTGGTAACTCAAAAATTGTAATAGATGCTGTTAGAGTCTTTTTTTCTTTAGTAGAAGTAGTTACATCGTGTTCTTAAGCTTAATTTTACAAGAATTCGTCTAAGAATTATTTGTTAAAATGTTTGTCTACCACAAATACTTAAAGCAAAACAGTGGTAAATCTAGAGTGTTGATAACGGATGAAGCTATGCCAGGAAAGGTGACAGCTACGGTCAAAAAAAAAAGGTTTTGATATCCATCGAAGGTAATATGGGCACTGCTTTTATTTATTTCCACTGCACAGAAATCGAAATAACTATTTATCATATATAAATTTCTATCGATTGTCAGTTTACATAAATCTTGAATGTATTCTTCGTTATGTTGAAGTTTTTGAACAATAATAAATTTTAAAAAAAAAACAAAAGTTTTATGTTTCTTTTAAGGTAAATTAGGTAATCTCGATCAAGCTGAAAAAATTTTTCATTCAATGTCTAAACATAATATTATTTCGTACAATATATTACTTAATCTATATGGTCTTTATCGTCAATCTGATAGAGCTTTAAATTGTTACAATCAAATGTATCAACAAGGTCATCGACCAGATGATAAAACCTATGTTATACTTCTTCATACACTAAGTCAAACACCAAATAAAATCAATGATGTTAAACGAATATTTTTCAATATTGAAGAAAATAAACGTGGACCTATATTAACATCAGCAATGATTGCTGCATTAATTCGAGCACAATTATTTGATGAAGTAAATGAATTATTAAAAAAATTACCTAAAGAAAATATTTTATTCTATGCAATAAAAGCAAATATAAATGGAACCATAGATAAATTTAATTATCCAATAGTAATAACAAATGAACAATTAGCATTATATGATTTATTAATGAATAATATGTATACATATGGCGGTTTAAATGATCGATTAACAACAATCGATGAAATATTATATGAAAATGATAAATTAAAAAATATGTTATCATATTCTTGGTTTGAAAAATCGAATGGAAAAATTGAATATTTCAAAAGTAATAATTTACAATTAGAAAATTGTGAACATACAGAAAAATTAGCACTTGAAAATGCATTAGAAGAACAAAAAAATTCATCATTACCAATCCTGATTGCAAAGAATCATCGTATATGTAATGAATGTCATGAATATTTTAAAAAAATTTCCCTTTCTTTCGTTTCTAAAAAAAATATTTACTTACGTGATTCAACTCGTTTTCATTTATTTTCAAGTGGCATATGCTGTTGTGAACTAGCTTGAGATGTTTTTTCGTTTCTGTCATAATGATTGTAGTTTACTGATTAAAAATAGAAAGGCACATCTATATATAAAAGGATAGGATTGTTTATGTTCTAAACATTTATTTTAGATTTATATGAATAATAAGTAAATAAATATAGTAACAATATGCAACCTGTTACTAAGAATTCAAGTCAACCGCGTCGTTCAACAGAATTTATAACTAGTAGTTTACCAGCTTATAAATGCGGTTGGCTCTATAAACGAGGTATTTATAAATAAAAATAACATTGAAGTGAATAGAGTCAGAATGAGATAATTTGACATGTATACTTTTTATGAAAATTTTGTTTTTTATGGATATGTTTTATCTTAAGGTGAACATATCAAAACTTGGCGTCCACGTTATTTTTTTCTGTTTCATGATGGTCATTTATACGGTTATCGTAAATCACCAGCTGTTAATGATAATCAACAAGAAGAACCACTTAATAAATTTCAGGTTATTGATTGTAGTGTTGTTCGACAAGATAAAATAAAACAAAATGCTTTTGTTATACATTTCAATCAAATGAAAATTGAAAGATTATTTGCTGCTGGTAGTCATCAAGATCGGTAAATATTCATCTCTATCCTATATATACTTGTTTCTTTTTTTCTTAATAAATTTTTATATATTTCAGTGAAGAATGGATAGCAGCAATTGAAATAATTAATCGACAAACAACACCACATTTACAACGGCAATTACCAACTATGAAAATGGTTACAGATGATGATGTTGATCATACAGACAATGAATATCCATCAATGAATGAAGTATTTGCACGACGACCAGTAAGAGAACAAAAAAATACAAAAGAAAGAAAATAATCGAAAATAAATTTTATTTTTTTATTTTTTTATTTTTATTTTGAAAAGCAAATAAACGATTTTGAATATTTAAAAATACTTGGTCGTGGTACATTCGGTAAAGTTGTTCTATGCCGGGAACGTACAACACAAAGGATATTTGCAATGAAAATGTTACGTAAAAGTCTTGTTATAACAAATGTAATAAGACAAAAAAAAAAACAAATAATTTAATCTTATTTATTAGTGGTTTTTTTGTTGTTGTGTTCTTACAATAGGATGAAGTTGTACATACAATAGGTGAAAGTAAAATTCTTCGTCGTATTCGTCATCCATTTATAACAGTAATTGTTTTTAGTTTTTGCTTTTGAAATCGTTTTATTCGTTATTTAATTTATTATATAGAATTTAATATGTGCATTCACAACAAGTGATCGTCTTTGTCTTGTTATGGAGTATGTTAATGGTGGTGAACTTTTTTTTCATTTAAATCGCGAAAAACGTTTTTCGGAAGAATGTACTAGATTTTATGTAGCTGAAATAGCTTGTGTTATTGGCTATCTTCATTCAAAAAAAGTTATTTATCGTGATGTTAAAGTACGTGAAAATAAATAAAAAAACAAAAGAAACATTAACTCAAATTTTATTCTCATATATTTCTTTTATATAATTAGCTTGAAAATATTCTACTCGATCGTTATGGTCATATTAAATTAGTTGATTTTGGTTTATGTAAAACAAATGTACCATTCGGACAAACGACTGCAACATTTTGTGGTACACCACAATATATAGCACCAGAGGTATTATTGAAAGAAAATTTCTGTTTAAGGAGATCATAAAGATGTTGAAAAGTATTCAAAGGATAGATTTGGTTAGAAGAAAAATTTTCATATACAGTTCATAATGAAAGTAAAACTGCTTATGACTATGGACAAGTCGTTATTTTGTATGAGTGGATCTTTCCGTTTAATCTTAGAGGTACCTTATAGAGTTGAACGAATAATTAGTGAAATTAGAAGAATTTTACTCTTCACGTCTGGAAAATATAAAAAGAGAAATGATCATTTTAGAGAGCATATATGACATGAGGATTTATTTTTTCTTGTGTATCTGTCTACTGACTATTTTACTTTAGCATTACTATTAGAATGTTTTCATCTCACGAGACTTCAGTAATGTTTTATAAGCTTCGTGTCTTCTTAAATGTTATATTTTGCTAAGTAGATTCAGCATTCTATATTGTTCGGCAAGAGTTTGTTATTTTTTATAAAAATAAAATTCAGTAGATTTTGTGTAATAAATGTTAATTGAAAAGAACCTTTTTTATATGAATAGATTCTACGAATGACATCGTATACAAATGCAATCGATTGGTGGGGAACTGGTATTGTTATGTATGAATGTCTTGTTGGTCGATTACCATTTGCTGATGGTAAAGGTCGAGATGGTCTTTTTCAAAAAATTCTTAATCATGAACCAACATATCCACCTGGTTTATCACCAATAGCACTTGATTTAATACAGCGATTTCTTAAAAAAGAACCAACTGAACGGTAAATGAAAATATATCTTCGATTTATTATGATTTATTGTTTAAATTTTTAGTATTGGTTCAAGTATAGAAGATGCTCACGAAGTTGAACGTCATCCGTTCTTTTGTAATATTCCATTCCATCTCTATGAAGAGAAAAAGGTTTAGTTTTGTTTTTTCTATTAAATAAATTAAAAATAAAGAATCTTGTTGCTTTTTTTCAGATTCCACCACCTTTTAAACCACAACTTGATTCAGATATAGATACACGTTATTTCGATCCAGAATTTACCAATCAACCAATTTGCGTAACACCACCTGGTAATAAGAACAAAAAAAAAAACGTTTTATTTTATTTAAAATAAAATCAACTAATTTATTTTCAGGTAGTAGTGATTCTATAAATGTTCTTGGCACGTCAGATGATGCATTTGATCGGTTTGAGTTTTATTTTGTTTAATTCTAATAATATCTCAATTTATTTAGATTTACTTACGTTGGTCATGATGGTCTAAGTCATATTACATCTCGATCAGGTATATCGATGGTATCATCAAATGCTGCTTGTTCACAATCAAATATATATCTTGTTGATCCTGATAATTATCATAAAAATCAAAATGTTCATAATTTACCAGCACAATATTCTGTATCAACAATGAATATACCATCAATGGGTGCTGATACATCACCATCATCATCATCAATGATTAAAAGTGCAATAAGTATGCAACAATTAAAAGGTTCAACAATGAATATAAACAATGCATCAAATGTTTTAAATGATCAACAAAAAATGAATATGGAACAAGATCAACCACAAACACAATCAATCTCATCAATACCTGAAATTTATGAACAACAATTAATGCATGAACGTCTTATGTGTATACAACAAATGATGGCTAGCGGACAAAATTTTGCTTCAATGTTTAATGATGATCCACATTTTGCTCAACAAATAATGTCTTATATGGCAGCTGCTCAACAACAAAATGAACCAGAAGTTATTGAAATAATGGATGAATAACGCGATCGCGTGAGTATGTCAGATTCTGCTATTGTATCTATTATACAAAAAAAGCAATAAACAACCTAGTTTTTCTATCACTAATATTTCAACTTGTTATTTTTGTTTATTGCAAAATTTAGTCTTATTTTCATTTGTCAACGAAAGATATGTACGGGAGTATTTTTTTTTCTATTATTAATTATCATGCGTAGTGCCATTCATTTTTTTCTGATGTAGATAACTTCTTATGTATAAATAAAAAAAAAAGTCTTACTTGATAATGAACTAATAATGAATAGCCACGTTTTGCGTTTCATATTTTCATCACTCAATACAAAATGTAACATGAAAAACTCTACAAGATACAAAGAAAAGATTATTGAAGATATGCACGTGGTTTTTTAACCAAATTTCGACGCCACGAACCTGATCATTTTTTTTTTGGTAAACGATCAATTCACTTTTTTTTCTAGGTCATTGATTGAAGATAATTCTATTTATTGACAAAAATTACTTTTCATTTAAACTGTATTCATATAGCGAGTCAACAGGAAGTTGAGGAACAATGGTATATAAACCAAAAGACTATATATCCAAAAAAAAAATTATGATATGATTAGGTGCTTCGAAAATGGATCTTCTGTTTCCAATTATATTTGAGCCTGACGAAACATTTTCACGAGAAAATTATATGGAAATTGTTCATTCACATAAGTAATCTGACAATAAACGGTTATACGACGATGATTTCATCTATCAATAAGACAATAACATATAGCATACACATACAGAATCATTAGCATAATGTAAAGAGAACTTTATGCATTTTATAAATAATTACAGATAACCATCATACAGTCCTGATCTCCATGTTCTGGATTATTATGTATGATATGCTATTACTGATAAAGCACAATAGGATGAAGTTGAAAACTATGATTCATTGATTGATGAAATAAGAAAAGAAATTCGTTGTGTACCAAAAGAAAAATGATCTTGTTCGCATCATCGAAAATTGATCGAAGACAACTTCGTTCATTTCAAAAACAAAAGATGCATATTATTAAATAAGCTTTTGTTTATGAATTGCAGAGCGTTGCACGCTGCATCTTGTGATATATGTTTTCGTTTCAACAAAATGTATTCGACGATGCAAAAACAAGTAGCACTAATCAAAAGATTTGCTCAACCTTTTCTGAAAGAAAATATTTTCATCAAAAACTGAAAGTTCAGTTATTAGTCTACTGGATGAATAATCTATTTACTTGTATATTCGAAGATAACGGTAGTGGAATTTCTATTGCCTTCTGTGAGCCTGTTGAAGCTCTTGAAATATACCTCATATTTTGCCAGCAATAAAACACTGAAGTGTAGTTTCGAAAAAGTTCTTTTTATAAAAACTTCCACTTAAATATTATATTATTATGAAATTTCTATTTATCTAACATACACAAGCAATGCTCGTCGATCAGACTCAACCGAATTTTCAATGCTCTCTGTGTTATATACTATATTACAAACACGATCGATACCAATATCAATATATGCATACGTGTACGTGTGGAAGTCGTGAGCATAACAAATATATATCCCAGCATGTGTCTATTACCAGTTGAAATGTAAAATCAAGCATCTGTGACCTTTGATCTACATACTGATTGGCTTGAACACATAAACAAAGATACATTTTTCGAATGTAAAATCCCTTCTTTTAGAAAACGGAATAAAACTAAAGTATAGCCATTCATTTATGTTCTATCCATTATTTATAAGATTAAACATATGAAATCCCTTCTTAGTGTTCTTCTATAATAATTCATTTAAAGAGAAAAATCTCATTCTATTGTCTATATATGTATGAATGAAGTTTATACACTTAGTCAACAACAAGGGAATGATCTGTAAACTTCCGCTCATGTATGAATTAAAATTAATTTCTAGTATTAATTAAACAACATAGTACAGTACAAATACTACCCAATTCCAATAAAATCTATATTTTGCTTCGCTCATTCCTCACCTTTGTGTGTACTGATAGAACACAAATATGCTTAAACCAATATATCTTGACATTTACTAGTAAGTAATGAAAGTCATATTGATAAAAAAGCAGAATCTAAGCAAATATTTGTTTCTATAATAATACAATAAAACGAAATATTATATTCTGTAGATAATTTATGATACGAGAAATCTTTCCTATCCTTTGCAAAACTTATGATATCATTGATGTGTACAATAGTCAGCTGGATACATAATATAGAGTATAAGACGAGTATCAAAAGCGTTCGTATTTAAATTAGAAATATTTTCCTATGAGCATTTCTGGAAAAAAAAGTTTATTTTTTATCTTTTTCCTTATTGTCAATACTTCTAATAAAGCACAATAATCAATTATTTCAAGATAGCACATTTATTCACAAAATTGTAATCTTTTTACTCCAATTCGGCGACAAAGCAAAAAAAAAATCAATCATAAAAATATGTTCAATGTTTAAATTCGATGAGGTGGTATCGGTGCACTATCACTCAATTGATCTCCTAGAAACATAATGAGATGAATAGAAAAATTTTTAATATATATATGTATATATATAAATAATATTTACCATCGAGTGGTACAGGTGTTTTGATCCAAAATCCATTAAGAAGATGATCAATTTTTGGACGACCCGAATTAGGATGTACGAGAACTGTAAGATTGCCATGATACATTGAAATAAATGATACAGCTTGAGTAAATTGTTCAAGTGGTAAATAAATACCCCATGAACCAATTGGATGTGGTCTAAATTAAAAATATTACATGAATAATCAATTTTCAAAATATAAGATATATATTATATACCCAATAGGGTCCATGTTTAATTCCCAATGACAAATTCTTGGACACCATGTTCCACAATCATCATTACAATCATCAACATTAAATTCATTAAGGAAACGATTACGTAATAGAGTAGCTTCATTTGTTTGATTTTCATTCTTTTGTAAGAAGTATACATGAATATGATATGAATAATATGTTATATTGTCACCGAGTTTTGTATCTTTTAAATCAAAATTGATTGGGGAAATGAACAAATCATTTATATTATCATGTCGAATAACATGTCCATTTGCAAATAAATTAATAGTAAAACAGAGAAATATGACAAGAACAAATTTATTTGACATATTTTGTTTTTGTATGTAGAAGTTAAAATTGAGAATAATAAATTAAATTTTATTCTTTACAAATATAAATAGTATATATGATATATCACAAAAATTGCAAACACAGTATGATAGAAGCAAAGATAAGAATAAAAAGATTTTTCGTTAAAAAGATAATTTTCAAAAGAAAGTCATCGATACAATTGTGATGAGTCATCATTTCACTTAGTCAGCGATGACAAGTAAAAATATACTCATATAAATAGCTGTAATTTTTTTAGAGTATTAGAGCGAAGTACAATTTTATTTCTAAAGATTAACAGAAAATTTCGTACAAGTCTTTTTTTTTATTATAAAGAATTAAGATCTTGTATAATGTTAAAATATCTTGAGATTATTTAATAGAAACTATTAAACACCTGTTTGAACAACTCGATTCTCCAAAACATGATTAACTATTGTCAAAGACGTGTTGTTTGCAGAATTTAATCCATGTAAAGGTGGACCAAATCTATTTGTTAGCTGTTGTCTATGATTTTTCTTTATTGCATTAAAAGAAAAATTTACGTCTTCATCTTCACTTTCTAATCCTGATAGATCAAATTCAGTTGTGGCATAAGGTACACTTTTAAAACCATTTTGATTAGGTTTATCTATTGTACCATCCACTTCGTGTTGTTTTGTCCAATGTGTACAACCCATATGTTGTGTTAACAGATGTAATTTACGTGTAAAAAATCGCGTTTAATGTCTTTAAATAGATAAAACGATATAAAATATATCATAAACAAATATTCTATTTAGTTCTCTTTCATATAATGATAGTGATTTATCTTAAAAGAAAAATATTCGTTAGAATTTATCGTAATAAACTCATATAATCATACAATTGAAAATGAAAACAAAACACAATTAAAAGAAAACCTATCTTAATCAACTATGGGATATAAACCATTTATAAATCATACTCTTTCATAGACAGATCAAACCAATCATTTATTTCCTAAAAAAACATCAAATTTTATAGTATACCTTTGCAATCACAATAAGGTAACAGATATATATTGACGGATGACACATTGTAATTTTGTTGTAATAGTATCTTCACGCTTCATTACATACTTCAATCATGCACATATTCATATACTTTTCCACCATATTTATTTGATATTAACGAGTGAGACAGGTTAAATGATCGCATTTTATATTTTAATTCTCAATTACTTCATACGTCGTCTCAAAAAACCAAAATACACCACAAAATGTAGTGTAGAAAGCTCTACAATTTACACAAGACAGCTTTTTTCATTTTCAAAATGGACTAAATTCTGTTTCAACATTGCTACAAGATCATTTGTTAATACACGACGAAATGCTTTTCTTATTTCATTAATTAATGAATCATAGTTTTTCCCCTCTATTATATTGCATATTATTGACAATAGTGTTCCACCCATAGTAATCAAAAGCATGAAGATCGAAACGGTTCAGTGGCTATCTGTGATTGTTTATAATTTCATTTCTGTTTATTAACTAACACACCTATACAGATTCGATATGTTATTATAAAGTTCGTATATGCTTGTAACAAATAATATCAGAGTGAAAAAAAGTATAATCGAAACATATATAGGTTGATTTAAAATTGACCATCGACTATGACTTTCGATATTACTTATTAATCGAAGGAATGAGAAAAGAAATTAGTCATGTACCAAAAAATTCTTTTTTTTCGCACTGTCGAAATTTAGTCACACAAAATTTTGTCCATTTTGAAAATAAAAAGTGCAATTATTAAAAACAGACATCTTGTGTAAATTGTAGAGTTTTTCAAACTGCACCTTGTAGTATATTTTGGTTGTTTAATATACCGTATTAATTGATGGAAAATTATAATGTAAAATGAGATCATTTAACCTGCCCCGCTCGTTATTTTTATCGAATATGAAAAAATAACAAGGACATAAAATTTTTGTGTGATAGAGAAACAATTTATCGGAGAAATGAAAATTTCCATTGACATAGAACTATAAGCACGATAAAATAATTCATTCTGTTATTATAATATGTCAACTTTTGTAGGTATTCGTTAGAGCTTGATAAAAACCATTGATTGTACATTATTGTACAGTATTAAAACAGAACATTTGCATTGTATACAATTGAATTCTTGCATGAGAAAAGTTCGTGTTGATCGATTGACATGTAGTGTCCTCTAACTTTTGTTCATATATAGAAGATGATTTATAAACGATTTTATTCTTTCGTGAATTTTATTTTTAATTATACTTTATTTAAAAATTTCTATTTACAAATAATAATCTATTTTAAACAATGACAAATAAATTTGTCGCTATTGTATTCACTTTTTTAAACCAATAATTGAACACATTTTCAAGTCCTTTCTTCTCGAGTATTTGTCTCGTCCTCCATCGTTTTTCTCACGATCAGTCTATTCATAATCGTCGGTTATGTATTTGTAAAATGTATACATACATTTATTTATAGTTAACTATATTTGTTTAATTTAATTTCATAATTGTTGTTTTTTTAGACTGATTTACAAGTGCATCTAATCACTACTGTCATGAACCATTATCCAGCTTTTCTTCGTTCGTATAATGTGAAATCAACTAATTCCACCAATAATTCATCATCATCATCATCTAATAATGAAAATGATGAAAATTCATCAATAAAGAGTCTCATTTTTAAACATTTATCTAAAGCACAATCAAGTTCTTTAACTAATAATAATACAAAAGGAACAATGCGTGGTATTCTTGGTGAAGTTGGCAATATGACATTGTCGAATGTACAAATGACATCAATAATAACCAAACCAAAAACACTTCAACAACAATCAGTAACAACTATTGTTGAAACAACATCGACAATAACTGCACCGCCACCGGCACCACCACCACTACAGCCATCGTCAATATCAATTATACCGATAGTTGTAAATAAAATTGAAAAAGTTACTTTGGATGATAATAATGAAAATGATGAATATATGCTTCATGAACCAATAACAAAACTTACAAAAGTTCCACCAGAATTTGATTGTGATAGTAGTGATTCATATAATATAACTACTGTATCGGAATATGTTGTTGATATTTGTAAATATTGGCGTGAACTTGAACAACTTACACCAATTCGAGAGAATTTTTTATTAAATCGTACTGAAGGTAAATAAAGCAAGTTACATATATATATATATATTCAATTAAATTATGTTATATTGGTTTTTTTTTCATAGGCACAGCTTCACCTCAAAATCGAGCTGTACTTATTGATTGGCTCTATCAAGTACATGATCGTTTCAAACTTCTTTCAGATACATTTCATATGACAATTCAACTTATTGATCGTTATTTACAATTAATTGATGTATCAAAACATGAATTACAACTTATTGGATCGACTGGTACGAATCGAAATCCATAGGTTTCAGAGAAAAGATTTCAAAATAGAACAAAACAAAACGAAAAAAAAATTTCCGAAATTTGTATAAAGAGTAATGAAATCTGATCAATGCCATTGAAATTGAATGTTTATGAATATAAAATATAGTTAAGAAAAAAACTATTCTTTCGAGAGAACTAATATGATTAATGCTTAACATTGTTTATCCTTGTTTAATGACCGTATGACTCATGAAAAGTTTACAAAAAAAGTCAGGCGACGGAGCATTGTATTTTCAAGCGAAAAAAAAGCATTTTTTGATTCCAGTTGAATAGTCGACGGTCGTTTCCTGTCGGATATTGAATGCAGAAATCTAATGCTTGGATTCACTAGCTAGTTATGCTCAGTTCCGATCGCAAAAATCATTGAAACTGACTGCAGAAATGATTAACCTGCATTAATGTTATGTTCTCATAAATTTCACTATTTCATTTCTTAGCAATAAAGACAAATGTTTGACCAAAAAAAAAAAAAGAAAAAACAAAATATTTTTCTGTGACCATTCGAAATTTTGAATTTTTCTTATGAAGTTGATAGATCTTTTTCTTTCTCGCTTACTCAGATCGAACAAGCACGCTTGTAAACGACTATAAATCGTCGTATTTTGGCGTATTACATAATTCCGATTACAACACAGAAACATTCGTATACGGATTTTGTATACTTCGTCCTGAGTATATATAGAGGATGGTCTATAAATAACTAGACTATAAAAAAAAACTCAATAACTTCAGTCTGTTTCAATTTATTGGACTGATGTTTTTCTCGGTGATAGAGGACTCTTCAAAATTTTTATCGACAGATAACCGTCAATAGGTACTGCTTTGAACTAGCACTATTGACCTCGATAAAGAAAAACACTACCAGCCGAAAGTATCTCATCCTTTTTTTAAGGCTACATATTTGAAATTTTTCGCTTATGTACTACGTTAGAAATATAAGGCGCACAAAACTAGTATGATTCCGATCGCTTGAGTTAAAGAAGAGTTATAAGGTATGACAACTCTTCTCACATTGAGCTCTATAATACAAGTAGAGAAGGAGTTTATGACCTGATGAACCTATCATTATGTAAAATATCTACAGTTTTTGAACGCTTCGATGAAATTTTTAGTATATATAGACACATTGAAATATCATATGATGGCAGATTCGATGAGTCATAACTCAAACGACTGAGATCGGGTCGATCGTACGGACCTACATTTCTAAGATAGTACATATAGTAAAAATTTCAAATGTTTAGTCCTAGGAATGGTTGAGATTGTAATATGAGATAATATCGGCAGATAATGTATTTCTTCATCAAGAGCAATAGTGCTAGTTCTACACTATATCTATTTGGCAGCTTTCTTGTGAATAAATGTTCGTTGAATGGAGAAAAAAAAATCAGTTCAATTGATTAAAGCAGACTGGAGATTTTGGATTTTGTTATCGTTTAGTTATTTATAGGCTATCCTACGTAATATATATATATATATATATTAAAGAAATATAATTCATGTAAAATATCTCATGATTTTCTTGAGTTACATCCGATATTTCAGATCGAACTCAGTCATCATCATCAAATCAACAACATAGGACTCTAACGAGTTCCTTATTGTTGACAGTGAGGAAAAGAATTTTGATTTTGTATTCTGATTATTCAACGAAAATGATTTTCTTGAGTCATCGAAGAAAAAATACGGAGTTACAACATCTCTCTCTGGGTCTTTCTTGATAAGCAAGGAAATGAAATTCCCCTAGGTTTGTCGATTAACTAATTGGAGACATATATCCAGACGTCTTGAAAAGACGTTTTTAGTTGGAGAAAATAATGTGATCTATGCTTCTTCCTAGATGTTTATTCTGAATATATCCGTTCTTTTTTTCTTGTTCAGCCTTATTAATAGCATGTAAATATGAAGAAATGACAATTCCTGGTATGAATGATTTTGTCTATGTATCCGATAATGCATATTCAAAAGAAGATATGAAAGAAATGGAACGATGTATAATATCAACATTATCATTTAATCTTGGTCGACCATTATCAATAAATTTTCTTCGTCGTTATTCAAAAATAGTTCAAGCAACTGATATTGAACATACATTAGGAAAATATCTTCTTGATTTAATATTTATTGATCATTCATTATTACATTTATTACCATCATATGTATCAGCATGTGCATCATTTCTTTCACGTTATTTATTTGCATATAAATCTTTAACATCATCAACATCAGTATCATCATTAATTGACAACATTTGGCCAAGTAAATTTATGAATTATCATACTGGTTATACATATGAAGAACTTCGTCATGGTATTAAACAATTAGGTCAATTACTTATTGGACAAGATACAACAAAATTAAGAAGTGTACAAAAAAAATTTTCTCAAAGTAACATGTTTTCAGTTGCACAACATAGTTGTTGTAAAAGTGCTTATGTTCAAATAGCACTTTCTCGTCTATCAAAATAGATTGCTATTCTAGGAGAGATAATTAAAAACAACAACAACACCAACAAAATAATCTTTTTTTTATTTGTTAGATATATATATATAAATACAAATGAAATATTTCTTTTTTCTCTCTGTGTTGTCTTTTTCAATGTCAGATAAATGAATGAAAATTAGGAAAAAAAGAACGATGATCTAGTCAGATCTTGTATTTTCCTTTTCTTTTTGGTTCTATATATTATACTGTTATTGTTATTATATTATTCTTCTGTTGATTTTTCTTTTTTTTTTCTTGAATTAAATATGCAATTGATCAGATATCTTGTACACTTTGTTACGTTCTTCTATCTGATTATGTGTATTGGAAAAACCAAAGTTAGATTAGCCTTTAAAAAAACTTATACTCTGTGAATATGTGTGTGTTACGTTTTTTTTTAACTTAGAAAATTGTATTGATAGAGTATGGGAAAGATCTTTGGAGTTAATTATAATAGAGAAAAAAAATCAACATTGAACGCGTGTGTGATTATCACAGATGTGTATGTCAGATATATGTGAATAAAACAAATGAATGACTATTTCTATGATTTTCTTTCTTTCTATTGTTTTTCTTTTTCATCGTATTATATGTTTTTTGAAATGTATAATTGAAATAGATTGTTATTATTGAAAAGTAATTTATTATTTGGATTTATTCATGTAAAAAAAATGAAGACGATATTTTTTATAACTAATATCAAAGTAATATTTTGCTTTAGAAATATTCTATTTTCTATAGACATTATGAATGACTAATATTCTGTAATTGCATAACGGGGATAGCTGTTTTTTTTATAACATCGTCATTCTTTTTATTCCATCAATGGATCAAAAATTTCTTTTTCTTTTTTTTTATTGTAGATCATGGCAGGAACTACAATTGATTTAAACTTGAATGATACAGATGATATTGATGAAACATTTGTTTCACATAAAAGTGCCGATCCTGAAACTGAACAATTTGATCAAACAATTGGTCTTATTGAAGATATGATTATGGATGAAGAATTTCGTTCTATACAACAAGCATTTTTAACAAAATATGCACATGAATTTGATCCTGATTTGGATGAAAATAAATTAATTTATACTGATATTCATCGAGAATATTTAACAATAGTTGAAGATTTTGTTATAAATAAAATAAAACGTTCACAACCAAATTTTAATCTTGATCTATTTATGAAACAATTAGAATCTCGACAAGAAGAATTAGAAGAAGAAATATTTGAATTTCTTTTAACATTTACCGATTTTCTTGCATTTAAAGAATGGATGCTTGATCATCGTCGTTCATTAACATTACCAATATTAGATATTAATTCATGTTTGCAATCAATTAGTTTACCAAGTGCACGTGGAACAAATCCAACACCATTACTTGATCAAGTTAAATTGGATGATGATAACTCAACAACAAATCAACAACAATCAACATCATTTGATTTAGGTATTACAGGAACAAAAATAAAAAAACCTCAAGATCCAAAAAAGAAATAAATTTTATTATTTGTCAAACTTTTTAGAAAAATAAGAAAAAGAACAAATTGTATACAATGTGTTTTAAATTTTAATTATCCTATAATATTCCGTCCATTTCAAAAGAAAAAAAAAATACACACACACATATATACATATATATATAGAAATGAACTTTGTATTTTGGACAAATATTTTGTTTTTCTTTGTTCTTTGCTTTTGTTATTGGTCACCTTGAGTGCATGACTAATAAAATATGCACGTATATGATACCTACGTATAAGAGTAACTACACAAAATACAACTTTAGATGCTTGACACGTATAAGATTAAAGTCCACATTTTAGATAAATATTGAAGGCTACTATTTAACTGCTAAGTAACTTTAAATAAAAGCTAAGTAAAAAATTAAATTTTTGCTAAGTAAGTTTTTGAAAAAAATTCTAAGTAAAAAAACGTATTTTTGCTAAGTTTTTTATTTAAATTCGAAGTAAAAAAGTTTGATTTTCTAAGTAAAATATTGTAAATCTCTAGGTAAATATACAATTTTGGTTAAGTAAACTGACATGAATATCTAAGTAAAAACAGTTAATTGTACAGTTATAGTATTAATAGAGCTCTTGTTGCTTTTCATGGCCGTCCTCGTTTTCTTTTTTCACTCAAAGGTATATCCTTTGCTGATAGAGGTAGTTTACAAAACTTCAATCTAATAGCCATGCCAAGAATATGTTTGCAAATGTATTCTTTAAAGTAGCTTGGACAATTGCAAAGTCCGCTTTTCCATTCTGATATATTGTGTGATAAGGTTACTACACATATTTCAATTTAGTGCTCTTTAAATTGATGAAACGACGTCATTTTTTGCTTTTGTATTTCTGTATTTCATGTGTTGTAGTATTTTCTGTCCCACCAGCTGGTATATAGTAATCAGTAAAATCTTTTGTTTTAGATGATAGTTGTAATACTGGTTTTGAAGATTTTGCAAAATGATATGCATCAGTCCATTTTTTTCTAACCGCTTTGTTTTCTTAAATATCTTGCTGGTCGACTTTCATTTCTTTGTCTGCTTCTGATAAGCTTTTATATTGTTACGTTGCCAGTAGAGCCCATCGGATCCGAGTCCATAAATTTTTGCACCTGTTGGGCTCTACTCACAAAATATTTATTAATTAGGTTCGCATCCGAAAATTTTAATCGACCGCATCCGGGTCCAAAAAACTGTTAACGACTGGATCCGGGTTCAACAAATTTTAATCGGTCGGATCGGGGTCCGAAAATTGTTGGACGCGATGGGCTATAGTTGCCACAAAATTTGTCATGGTTTATAAATTCAAAGTAAACTTTCAATGACAGATATATATATATATACATAAATGAGGAGGGTGCGATAACTCACTAGAAAATGCTAGACATACCAAGAGCTCTCAAGAAAATAAGAGAAGCCATATGTAAAAGAAGCAGTGAGTGAAAAAGAAAAACTAATTGTACCAGAACATCCTTGAAGAAAACGTGCGCTTATTCACGCATAACCTCAGAGCGAAAGAAGCTATAAGTGGAGTATACATATGTGACGAAGCTAGTTTAATGTTGATAGAAGAAAAGCAAGAGAGAAAATGTACATGCCATATCACCATAAAAAATTCTTCTTATCTCAGATAATCATACTTTGCCTTTCTTCGAAGTTACTTAGTAATTATAAATTTTACTTAGCGATTTAATTTTTTTAGTATAATTTCGATTTATTAACTTAACAAAAAAAATTTTTACTTAGCAATTATTTATCAAACTTAGCAAACATCTTTTTTTACTGAGAACTATATTATTAACTGAGCGTTCAATATTTTTACTTAGGATTCAATTCTTTTACTGAGCAAATAGACATTTTACTTAGCAAAAGCCAACTTAGCATTTTAATATTTTTACTTAACAAACAATTTATAGCCAATATTGAATTGATCAATATAGAGTCAAAATTTTTAAACATTTTTCAGATCTAATATATATAGATTAGTGATGGTTCATGAAATTCGTTTTACTGATCGATCTCTAATAACTGGTTTATCTCAAATCTTTTGTTCTAGTCCCTTTTTTACGCTATGCTCCTTTTTAATTATTATCGGTATTTCATCTGTGATACCATTAGCATTTATCTGGTTGATACAATGTCTTTTTTTGAATATTTCTTTTATTTCAATTGAATCGCCTATTTTACGTACGACACTTACTATATGGTCAATAGCTGAAGTTATTTTTTTTGTTTATCAATGTTATTTATATACAAAAATTCAACATCCAATAACAGCACCGCATGTAACATCAACAGAACGTAATCAACTTGTATCTTATGCCCTTACAAATATGAAAAATGTACCACATACGTTAAGTAAATGGTTTATGGATTGTCCTTTTCAAGATATTGATCGAGAAAGTATAGTAGGATGGCTTGCATTTGCATTTTATTCTAAAGAATATGAAGAATTAAATGATGATGAATATAAAGAGATTGATGCTTTTATTGAAAAACTGGAAGATCAACATCAATTAAAAGCAACTATTGATAAATCAAATAAAAAAATATTTTGTATGAAACATATTCTTGATCCTGTTCGTGCTATTTTTCGTCCATTAGTTTTTTATTTTGTTACGGATACAATATTGAATGGGATACTTAATAGAAGTATCTTTTATCTAAGAGGATATCAATTTGTTCAAATAGGTCATTTGCAATTTTGGACATATTATAATAAATCAAGTCATGGAGAAGAAGAAGAAGAGCCAATTATTTTCTTTCATGGCATTGGTGCTGGTCTACTTATGTATCAGCCATTTATCTCATGTATTCATCAGAGATTTTCTCGGAATCGTCGTATTATACTTATATCAATGAGATGTGTATCTATGCGTTATCCATCTTTGAAAGATATTCCAAATATGTCTGAAACAGCTGATTCAATGAAACTGATATTTGATTATTATAAAATGAATAAAGCTATTTTTATTGGTCATAGGTTAGTTTAATTCTTTTATATTCAATTAAATTTTCTTGTTTATTTCTAGTTATGGTACGGCATGTCTTTCGTGGATTGTACAAAAATGTCCACAATATATATCACGTTTAATCTTTCTTGATCCAATTTGTTTTGCATTATTTGAACCTTACGTTGTTTATAATTTTGTCTATCGTACGCCATACAAATTGGCTCATCTCTATATGTATTATTTTGTTTGTCGTGAGTTGGGTATATCGTATGTAGTCAGTCGTCATTTTTGGTGGACACAAAATAATTTATATATTGAACAAATACCTTCATGTTCAAATAAAAAACTTCCGACGTATATTTTTTTATCTGGACATGATTGTATTATTAATGCAAATTTAGTTCGAGACTATCTTATTAATAATCATATGGACTATTATTGGGCACCAAATCTTTCTCACGGTAGTTTTATGCATGATTATAATAGTTGGAAAAAAATATGTGAATGGATCTCGTGATAATCGCAGATTTCTTTATTTCTTTGAACATTAATTTGTTTTTTTTATTTATTATTTATCTACAAAAATTACTTGCGCGTTTCTTATAGAACTCACGTATATTTTCAAAGAAAATAATAACTTTAAGCTTTAAGGGGACCGTCAGTCCTCATTTTCCGATGTTAAAATGAAAGTTTTTTCGATTTTCGATTTTTTATCGCTAATATAACTTTGAAATATCCTCTGTCAAATGCCATATAAATGAGGACTCTTTGTTGTTAGTTAATACTTTTATTAAACCAAACTCTCAAAATCCTCAACAGAAAAACTTGCACTGCGATTATTCTCTGTATGCAAAATTCTCTTAATGAAAATGAATATTTCTCATTCCAAAGATGCTGAGAGCATGAGTCATGTACCTCTAACACGGTCAGTTTTCGATCACTTTAGTTGGAGAGAAAAAAAGTCCTGATGAATACAAAGAAGTTTGTTTTGTGCTTTCCTCAAAATAAATTTTTGAACAAAAAATTGATTTAGTTTTCGTTCTTTTTTCCCACACGGTGCGTCCGGTCGGGATCATATTTTTTATGGGTACTTGATCATAGTGGGGTGCGTGGTTCTCTTTTTCTTCGAAATGTTATTCCTATGAAGTTCGGCAGCCTTTAAAAAATTAGAACCATTGAGAAAAAACACTTTTTTTTGACGGTGCTTCCAGTATTTTGTTTTTTCTGAGCTCTAGGAACGATATTTTTTGAAAGAAAAGGAAGCACACACTCCGCTTTGATCCTAGTTGTCATAAAAAAATTTGTAGCTCGAAAAAATGAAGCATAAAGTTTTGCAATAGGGACAGGGGAAAGTTGAAACTTCTAACCATTTTTGGCCTTTGCATTCTCCATATCCTCCTGAAGAAAAAATTTGAAAATTTTAAGTCTATGACAACTTGTGCTCTATTTATTCAGATTTATTTGCCTTGAAAGTTCCATCATTTTTCACCGAGCCGTTACAGAGAAACTCGGGAAATGAAGGGAAGTTCCTTAGGTCGAAGTTGTGTAGCTTCCTCATCCATTACAGACTTTAGCGACTGGGATTAAAGGTGCTGAACGACATTAATAACAAAACTTAGAAGATTCTAGAATCTTCTGGACCCATCCTTGAAATTTAAATGGCTGAAATACGTTTTGCAATATTCTAAATAATGCAGTTTCTAATTTTTGTGCCGATAAATGATTACATGATAGATACCAAAGATGAAGTTTTCATTTTCCTACAGTTGTCATACAACCAACACAAAAGTAGGAACTGATCAGTTTTTCACTTTCGGAAATAATCAACATCAGTATTCCTGACTTCATCAAGGTACATAATAAATCGATAAAATCTGCTGGAAATGTGACGGATGTATGCAACAGGTTTATTTGTCCATTAAATCAGTGGTTAGACTAATAATAATAGATTATGAAAATGAAGTAAAAAAGAAAAAGCTAATAAATATCAAGCGAATAACAACAACAAAATTTCTGTTCGCAATGTAGATATAAAAAAGACATAGCATTTGCTAACAATCAATTATCGTTGATAAAAGACTATTGTCTTTTAGAGATTTACACTTTGTATATTTTGTATTGGCATACTGAAACCAAAGAAGACGTGTGGCTTCTACAGTTCAGCTTCAAAGGACTTACGCTAACAAGTTTTTGTTTTCGTATATTTGTCGATATAGACCGATATTTTTCTAACTCGTGTATTTTTCACCCTTTTCTGTCGAGGCATTCACTTGTTAATAATTCAATGTATGAACAGACATGCATACGCTCAGTCATTATGTTGAACCCTGGATTTTTCTCTAGTCTACAGAATAGAGAAAATTGTTAAAATATCATACCAAGTTATCTAAGACAGCAAATATTGTGACGAACTGATGTTCACAAATGATAATGCATACGAAGAAGTGATGATTATAATAAAAACATTTTTCTCATTTTTTGAGTTGCATTTAAATACTTTCATGTCCCGAATGGATCACTACGATTGACGTGAAATCCACATCATACTTAACAATATGCTAATGATGTGAACGATTTAATATCAAATTTAATGATACGCTAGAACTGAACACTTAGTAAGTGTCTTAGTCAACTGTTCTCATTATAATATGAATTGATTTCTCACTTTTCTCTAGGTTTTTTACTCAATGCAGCTATTTGTAGAACTTTTCAAATCACTCATGACTATAAGAACTAGTGATAAAGAACTTTATGAATCATAAATTTCACTTCAGGAAAATATATTGACTTCGCTAGTCAAAAACAAAATTTTCGAAGATTAGTTAAACTATCGTTCAGTCTGATTACAAAAAGTCTTACGTTTAGGTTAACCAAATTGAACAGCTTTTATGAATGATTTAAAAAATGATTCTAATAATTCAGAGTTAGATTTTCTGACGGTTTGTCATTGATTTTCATGAGTTTTGACGTAATGTGAATTCACAAAAAACCTACACAATCAATGACTATAAATATTACAATTATCGCTTGAAAAAATGAAATACTAATACTTAATTTATACAAAAATCTTTTGCCAACAAAAAACTCAACTACATGGTTAAAGAAATGATTCTACAAAGGCAACACCTTTAATAAATTTCACATTCTAATTCGATCATCTATAATCATAGAAGAATCTTAGCAAACCATGGTACAGTTCACATCAATGCTATGATTCAATATTCAAATGTCATTAAAAGAATTATCAGTTGTAATTAATATATAATCAGCATGATACATTTTAAAACAAAGCAAAAAAACGAGGTATTTTTTATTGTTTTACTTGATGTTCCGTTGTGCTTACGACTTTCATGTAAAATTAATGAGTATACGTTCTTTTTTTTTTTTGATGTTCATAATTTCATTAAATTATATACAAATAAAAAGACTTCTTTTCTCAAACTTACAAGTAACTTTCCTTCAATTATTTGATATGTTCACATGGTGAAAGAATTTTATGTTTTCATGTTTATAGTTACGTTTTTGATCATCTAAATTTATTTTCTGTTGACATATCGTGTGTATGACAAAGGATATAAACTATTGAAAAAAGAATAAAATCTTTGTTGCACTAGTGTCATGATGACAGATTGCTATTCATAGTAACCAATGATCATCAAAATTTTTGTATAATTCTTCGAATAGGATCACTTCTTAATTCATTCAATGCTTATGTACATTGTTAGACCATATGCACTAGGATAAATAGATCGACTTGAACAATATGAGTTCGTTCTTTATCGTCAGTATCACTGATTAATGTTATTTGAAGAGTCAAAAACAAGTCATATTACCATCGATCTAGAATTCGGCAGAACAAACTTTTTTTGAGTCTCGAATTTCGTTAGTTCTCTCCTGAAAATTTTTGTGTAGCTCCGAACCTCGTTTGTTTCATCCCGTTTTATTTTCAAAATGTCCCGATCCCAAATGTTCTGTGGGGCAGGACAAATGAGATTTTTCGAGATTTGGGACTGTCCTGCAAGGATCTACAACGATCACGAATACTTTTCATAGTCATCTGAGGTTTAAAAACATGAATCATTTTATTTCTTGAAGAAAAATACAAACAGACATACTTGGACATTAAAACACCAATATAAATGTTTATAATGATGTAATAACAGCCGAGATCAGTAGTAAGTATTGCTTGTAATTAATAAGTTTTTGATTGATCACATTCGATAAAGTCTTGCCGAATATAAGTACTATAGCCAAGTATTTTCAATGATACATCGGGAGACTTAGTTGACATTTGAATGAGAATATTAATGATAATAATAATAGAATATTAAAAACGTATTTTAGTCTTTGCACATTTTGTTTATCACCATAAAAGACTATTAATTGTTGTTTGGACTGTTTCAATATCTAGCTGAAGATGATCTTATAAGATAAATAGTAATAAGAGAAAATTTCAATAATATTTGTCGCAATTTTTGCTAACTTACTGCAATAGTAAATGATTTTATATTGATATCTATAGTTAAGTATCCCAAAGTAGTATTACAAATATCTGCAGCAGCTAAAAATAAAGATAAATTTGGCTCAAATATTTTTTAATATCGTCAAATAGAATATAATTGAATATTATGTCCTTAGAATACAATGACTTTGTTTGAAGACCATGTTCCACCAAGAAAAGAATAATAATAATAAATTTCTCCATGTTAAATGATAAAGAAGAGCGGATTTCAGTAATTGAATATATTTTTTATTTCATATCACTTTGAACATAATTTCACTTTTCAAAATCTCAAAAGTGAAAAAAAAGACAATGTAATATAAAGGTAACTAATCATTAAATAAAACAATATGAATTCTTTTGTTGGAATATCAAAGAATTGATATGATAGGTTCAGGGAATTTTGATAGCATGGAACTAAACTAAGAGAACTACTTGTCTACGTGTCATATTACCAACTTCATCAATCTTATTTAATAAACCCAGCTGAACTTTTTGCTTGTCATAAAATAGTAAATGAGTTGATGTTGTTGATATTTGTTCTAAAAAAATGGAATAGCACACAAGCAATGAAGATGACAACTCTATGAATGATTTACCATTTAATTTTTGCCATATCTTGAACATAAGTGTATAGTCAATTGATTATATTTATTCTGTACTCTTTTTTTTTCTTCTTACACTTTCATATTGTCTATTCCACATTATTATATTAATCATTTGTTTCTTGTTTTGTGTTATGAAAGTTTCTTTTTTAACCTACATATTTAGCTTTACGTACAATTTCATATAGCAGGCTTGAGTGTATTAATATTATAACATATCTATATTGTGAAATATAATTCTTGAAGTCTATTATTTTCATTCATAATTTGGAAATCATATTGTCCATAATGATGTATTAAGTGACGCTAGTAATAAAATTGTTCATTTGTGAAGTCAATTTGCTATGAAAACAAATCTCAAGGGAACGTGTATATTTTTTGTTTTTGTTATGATGATTATATATAATAGAATCATATTCATATGCATATATGTGTATTTGCGTATAATCTTCGTGCAAATATGCAAAAAAAACGAACCAAAAGAGAAAAAAAACAGAACATAAAAATATAAGCAGAAAACAATCACAAAAAAGCATATTGCATGATAGAGTCATTAACCCGCTGTCATCTCTCGTCAAACGTTACTTCATTTTTATCATGGTCAAACTACCAACACTTTGACATGATTGACAGTGTCATACGTCGTCCCGTGATATTACAGTTGACGCTTCGTGTCCACCAGCATAAGTAGTAGCTTGTGTTAGGTAAAGAGAAGCTACTTGACGATGCTCATTTTTAAGATTATAACGGCGTGAAAATACTGTTGAAAGATAAACGAGAAGCCAAACTGTAATTATTAAAGATATTAAACCAACATAAGGTATTATAGCATAATGAAGTGTAAATGAACTTTCACTCTTAACATATAAAGTTGATAAGTTATTTGAATTTGCTGCCAGATAATCCTATTGAATAAATATAAATAATAAACGATAATATTGTTTTTTTTTAATGATCGATTTTTTACCATTGGTAAGGAAACACGATTAACGTCAGTAGTTATGAAAACGATCGCCATATCTTCTTTCTATCAACAAAAAATTATCCATGTTTTTTGTTAGCAACGTAGCACATGCATACATATATATATATATATATATTTCTATAGCTCTCTCTCTCTCTTTCTTCTCTTTTACATTTGACCTAGTACTTTTTCTCTGTCTTTTTTTCTTTTCATTGAGTTTTATTCTATTTCTTGTTGTAATATGATAAAATGCATTCAAGAAATAGATCATTCTTAATTAAAAATTTATTTTTCTTGTTCTTCTTTTTTTTATTATTCAATAATCAAAAGAAAGAAAATCAAAATAATTATTACTTGCTCTTGTCTATTTTGAACAAAACTATTCCAAACCTTGAAATATAAATTCAATGCGTAGAAGTTATTGCTTTGAAATATATATAAATGGTTGATCAACACATGATTGTTTTTTTTTCATAGAAAGAAGCAATCAAACACTAATGAATACACAAATCAAGATCGATGACTTGATGCTAACTTCTGAATATTGAATAAATAGAATTCAAGCATTTTTCCTATTTACATTCGCTGATTAGTATTTGTTTGATTCTCAAAAGGAAAAAGAAAAAAGACAAATGATAGTCGATATTATTACTTATTGTTCATCAATGATTAGTGATGTGTATTCATACGCGTCAATAAATTTCTGTAGGTTTCTTTTTTTTTTGATTAAAAAAAAAAGCATTCTATATAACACACGCATACAAGTGTTATATATGAAAAATTCACAATAAGAAAGTCATGGTAAATTAATGTTCTTATTATTTTCTTTAATTCGAATTGATTTTACTTTGAATCCAACTCAAATAAGCACTTGTACGTGTATAAACACCTGGATAATTTGGAAGAGCACAGTCAGTACCAAAACTAACTACACCTGATAAATACCATTGTCCATTATTATTATACATCAAAGGACCACCACTATCACCTTGACAACTATCTTTACCACCTAAATTTGGTATACCTGCACCAATTTGTCGTTGAACATTAAAATAATTTGAATATGCTGTACTTGCTTGAGCATTTGTAACTTTAATTGAAACTTGTCGAAGATGAGTTGCTAATACACTATTTTTATTTACTGTTCCCCATCCAGCTACAGTTACTGTTGCCGATTCTTGTGGATCGGCTCCAGGTAAACAAATTAAACGAACATATTCATTTAATTGAACTGGTTGAGATAAACGAAGAATAGCAATATCATGAGCTTGATTAACTGTACTATATTGTTCATGTGTAAATATACGTGATACACCAATATTTTGTGTACGTCCTGTATTTAGATTTGTTCGTTCATGTAAACCAGCAATGATTCGAATTTGACTGCTACTAACTGACGTCAAACAATGAGCAGCTGTGAGCACATGACGTGTATCAATCAAAGCACCACCACAAAAATGATCACGTAATTGTAAAGAAACAATCCATGGCCATGAATGTGGAATTGCTTCAACACCCCCAACAATACGTTGAGTTGATGGAGTAATTGATTGACGACCACAATTGTTAGCTGTTGGTATTGATGGTGATGTTGTTGCTAATGTTTGTCCAATAGCTGCTTTCGGACAACAATAACGTACTTTATAATCATTGCATAATTTGTCCTTAAAACCATTTACTTGTTGATTTAAACATAAAAACCCATCTTTGATAGTGATACGAAATATATCACTAGTTTGAGTTGGATTTTCACCTTTTAAAGTTTGACCCTAAAAAAAAACACATTAAAACCATTGTATTGATTTTTTAATTAAAAACTAAATCATTTTTTATAATTACTTCAATAGCAATTGGTGAGGGACACATGTATAAGGGAAATTTTTGTTGAATATTATTAGTAATTTCAAATTCACCTTGTGTTATACTTGGATCATATGTATCAAACCAAACTGTCCATTGATTATTGTCTGAACATTCAGATTGTTTAAATGTTGAAGGATCAAATATACTTTGACTGAATACACCAATGTTCAATTGAATTAATAATATTGTAATGAAAAACATGTTTTCAAACATAGGAGTATCCGTTAAATAAGTTAGCAATCAACGTTTTTCATCAAAATAAAAAAATACATATTATATATGTAGTGAAATTGGATATGAATCAACACGAAATATTTATTCATTTTAATCGATCAAAAATATTATGAAAAATGATCCAAGGTCAAGTTATGTATTTTAAAAGTGCTTAGTAAAAGATGAATACTGCAATATAAGTCCATGCATTAGCTTTAATGTAGGTGGTGCATGAATATAGAATTAGAACTACTGACATTCTTTATAAAGGATTAACTAATCTTACAGAAAACGTTGAATGAAAGCTAGATTTGAATTTCAATATAAATAAAGAAAAAACCTACACAACAACATTTAATTCTATCGAATGAGTCATTATATCAAGATAAAGATAGAGATATGATTATTTTATTTTATTTAATAAAATTAGTCGTCTGAAATAATCAGTACGTCAAAATCAACTTTTGAATCATAAGAATAAATTAGTATCTTCTTGTTTCAGTTGACAGAATTTTTTTTCTAAACAATTCCAGAATTTTATTGATGAAAGCTTGCCTTAGAGAGGAAATAGTAAACTAAACAGTAATGATACTATTCGACATGTTTAAAGCAAACATTACCATCAATTGAAAGGCTAGAAAAATGTTTTAGATTTGCGGGTGTAAGTGTAGGTATTGGACTTCTCTACTTCCACATACACCCGGATTAGAGGACTGACATCGCCGACTTAATGCAATTGTTGCCATCTCAAATCCAAACTTATATGCAATTATTGATGAATTCAAGAAAAATTATGTATTCAACATGACTACCATGAAGCAACTTGACAACAATATTAATCAAGCCATCACAAAATAAAAAATTTATTTTTCGAAATCAACGAATACTGAATTTAATGAAACGATATGAAAACGGTTGTTTGTCATTAGACGAATAATTTTAAAAGATTAGTAAAACAATTGCTCGAAAAAAAATTACAAGTGAATTATGTTCTCATTTCTTTCTTTAATACAAAATTGTATTTATTTTTCTTCATAAAATACTACTGAATAAAAAGTGTCAATGAAAAAGCAAAATTGATTAATTAATTTTAATTTTTCAATGAAATGAGGCCAAATCAAATAAATTTGATTACTTGAATAGTTTAAAATAAATTATAGAAAACACATTCGTTAATAACATTTATCATAGTATAGAACACAATCAATTTCATTCAACTGATGAGAAATATTGATTTATTTATTATCCATATTGATGGGGAAAATATGTTTCAATCAATAAATTATTCAAGACATAAGTCAATTGAAATGAAACAAATTATTCCAATGGTAAGGATAAGGAGACAGTTATCACACTCATCAACATTTGCACGCCCTCTCACTAAAATCCACCGAATTCAAAACTTTCGGACCCGAACTTGATCAAACCATGGTTTCATACTTTCAATGAAATTTTCTAATCGGAATATAATAGTCGCCTCAAAGATACGAAACACTTTTTACCGTTTGTTTTTTGCATTCGATGACTAGTGCATCCTACACATATCTTAGACGAATCGTCTGAGAAATGGGTAGGGTAAAGTCTATCGAGTTCAAAATTTTCGGACCCAATCTGGTTCGGGGCCGGGACCAACTCGACGGACTCTATCTCACATTCCACATCCATACCACCCTCAAGATAGCTCATCCTCACCGTCACAATATTTTCCTTAATTATTATCTTTTCTCATGTAGTATTGCAAAATATATGTGTTCTATTTGTTGTTTTTGTTTTCGTTTATAAAAAAATTTGATGTTCAAAAAAATGCATATCCTATATTGATAATCCATAAAAGAAGAATAATTAAAGATTACAATATAATTTCACTTACAACTAACTAAATTTCAATGGAAATATAAATGTTATACAGTTCAAAAAACTAATATTATAAGAATTCAAAAGAAGTTATTCAACTTTCGAAATTTTCTTTGTCCAAAATGTTTACCTATATGTATTAATATATACAGACAGTTGTTTTCCATTTTCTAGCCAGTCACCTTTCAACCTCAATATTATTGTATCTGTTTTTTGTGCAATAATTATATAAATCGTCTGTTGTTTTGTGCTTCTGTTTCATCATCATTAGCATGAAAACAAAAACAGATACAATGACAATCAAATATCAGCAGACTTTACACATATGTAGTATGCTAATAAACAAAAAACAAAAATACAAAAATCAGCATCAGAATATCTTCGAGTTCAGTTGTTGCGTTTGCTTCATGAGCTGATTATCATCGTTAAAGTGAAAAGACCAGTTATCAGTTTCCAACATTCGAAATCAAGTATTTATGACCTTTTCTTTTTTATCGTTTTTCACCTGAAAGTGATAAACAGATCATTTCTTTCTTTAAGAAGTAAAAAAAGAGACGAGGTCTTCTAAGTAAATATATTGCCCTAATCATTGTCGATAGAAAGTAAAAAGGGAGGGAATAGATCATTAATGACCTTTCGGAAACGAATCGTTCTTTGCTAATGAACAAGTCATCTTTATATCGAACATATTGCTGTCATTCTATCTTGTTATCAATATAAGTTGCACTCATATTCTAATAGTATTACTAGAAAAAGAAAACGAATAATAGTAATAATAATAATTATAATAATAATAAACATAAAAAAAGGCATAGATAATTATTGTCGACCATGCACATCAATTAAAACTACCAGTAGCTAAGATCGACAGAGAGTGATGAAAGAACAATGTCTATTCAGACAATACCGAAGAAGAATTTATCTTCAAAGTCAAAGAAAAAAAAAAGAAGAAGAAACTGTTTTTTCTTATAGATAGTAGCATGTGTGATAATGTTAGTATTAGGAATAAAATGATATCCGAATGTCGTATGTCATCCGTTCTTTGTCTTTTCTATTCCAAGGTTACACTATTGTTAACATATTTTTGTCTCTGGAAATCTTCATCATTATGAAAAATAACTTGGTAAAAGAAGCTAGTAATCAAATATCATGTCGAAGTATTCATCTCAACAGGGACTTTCTTTCTTAGTAGTATTGATATCGAGTCTCTTGTCGTATAAATCTGTCTTTTGTCTCAGATATGTACTAGACTAAGCGAGAGTGATATATATATAGAGAGAGAGACAGAGAGAGTAAGAGAGAAGAGAAGGAAATCGACACACATATATATAAACATACAGCGTTGAACAAACATCTCCCGTCATCATCATTTTCCATAGAGGTACTCTGGGGCATACATACTCTTTTTATCAAAGAAAACAATAAAACAAACTCACTGGTAAGTATTCTTTATTAAATTATTCTTTTTAAGTTGAATAATGTTCATTTTTTTTTTGAGTTAAATCAATCAGAAAGAAGATCAATACATATATATAAAAGATTATTGATGCAATACAGTGAGAAATTGAGTTCGTACATAGAAATTGAACCTTGGTCTTATCCATATCCTTAGATACACACAATCTTGAGAGATTGATTTGAATTTAGCACGAAAGCATAGAGTTCTAAACATTTGTTTGTCTTTGATTAAAACATCGTCGTCATTGGAATAGAAATTCGATACTCAACATACATTTATGACCGAGAAAATGTATGTAAACGTGAGAAACAATTATAATAGAATATGAATATTTTTTTTAAAATTTTTAATAAAATAAAAGAAAAACACAAAAATGTGTGAATCTATTTTCTCTCATCTTTCATTTACATCGAAAACTGACGATGAACAAGTCAACAATCAATTTGTTAACTGTGAATAATCTGCACATATAATTCAGTCGACATGATATATGAAACAAGATTTATATGTAAATGAGTATGAACTTTTGTCTTGTGTTATTTTTTCCTTGAGACTGAAGTTTTCTTTTCTATGTCGTAATAATGATCAAACGATTCTTTCTTTTTTTTCCTCTTTTCATAATTATATATATTGAAAGACAACAATATATATATATATATGTACGAAAATTATTTTACATCTATAGAGTAAATGTTTATTTTCATGTAGTATACGAAAAAAGAAAAAGAAAAGAAGAGAAAGGCACGTATATTGGAGTATATGTATTTAGAGTAAGTTGATGAATGTATGACATCTTTTCCCAAACGATGTTATTTTTTTAATTATGTAGATATGTCATTAACAAATCTTCATTATGATAAATGTTTATGTCATAAGAAGAAATTCTATGAAAGGAAAAAGGTGTTAACATTTATTGACAGTTTCTTTTTTCTTGTTTGTGTTTTTTTTTTTTTTTGTTGATTGACCATGTGTAACTTCGTGAGAGATCAAAAGAATAAAGCGGTTATAATCAATAAAACTTTACGTAATCTTTCTAAGATTGTTCCTTTTGGTGACAAATAAAAATCAAAAATGACCGATCGACACGATTAGTGTAGAGTGCTGACCTTGACCAAATACAATTGTTTGTTATATCTTTACCGCCCATATTAAGTTGACGATCGGCACCTATCTTTATATGATCGATGAATATCATATTAAATAGAACAGTTTGTTCATATCGTATCTTATTCGTTTCTTTTTTGTTTTTCTTCTTATTGTAGAATAAAAATGATGATGATAAGTATGCTTTTGTATTCATTGCTGTATTCATGTCAAGTGATTGATGGGATGACTAAACATAATCTTTGGTGGTAAGTTAAATCTATAGATGAAATGATAAACCTAACACATTTAAAACATATTTGATTAGGAACATTGCACTTCAAGAACAAAATGGCAATATTTTATCTTCATATACATTTTTTAATTCTGGAAATCAATATGAATTTAATGAAGATTCATCACAATATTGTCAATCAACATTAAAAAGTTTAACAATTGGACAAAAACAAATATGTTTATTACATGCAGATCACATGCCAATTGTTATTCAAGGTATTTTATTTTATGAATAAGAATAATATAGATGGGTACTACTAGCTGGTGTTCCCTTCCTCATGAAAAATATTCCACCATTGAATATTATAATATCCCATAGCAGAATACTTTTCAGGAGGAGGAGAAAAACCAGCTATAATGTTTACTGGTAGAACATCTGATATAGGAATACTCAATAGATGATATATAATTTCCTTTTTTCTTTAGGGGCAAGTAAAAGTATTGAAGAATGTCAATATCAATTTCAAGATCGTCATTGGAATTGTTCAACAGTAAAGGATGATACTGTGTTTGGACCTCTTCTCGATCATGGTAAATTATTTTAGTTGAATAGAATTCATTTTATTTTATTTTATTTTATTTTATATATAAAGCTAATCGAGAAACAGCTGTGGCTCATGCAATATTTTCAGCAGGTATAACATATGCTGTTAGTCGAGCATGTAAACAAGGTTTATTAAAATCATGCACATGTAGTCGAACTGCTAGACCAAAAAATTTACCACGAGATTGGTCATGGGGAGGGTTAGTTGATGGAATATTCTTGACTAATTTTTTGTTATTGAATTTTGTTTTAAAATAGTTGTGGTGATAATATCGATTATGGTTATCGATTTGGTCGAGATTTTGTTGATACACCTGAAAAAGAAATTAATTCTTTAGTTCGATATAATACATTTATGAATAGCAATCAAACAATGATACAAGGAGGACGAAAACGGAAATTTTTCAGACCTGGACGTATAAGACGTCAAATAAATATACATAATAATGAAGTTGGACGAAGAGTAAGTTTGACAACCAAAACAAAAAAAAAAGATATCTTTTTTTTTTCAAGGCTGTTTATCGATTAACACGAATTGTTTGTAAATGTCATGGAGTTAGTGGTTCTTGCAGGTAGAAATTTAAAAAAAAAAAGAAATTCTCGTTTCTATTGTTAATTATTTAGTCTTCGAACATGTTATCAACAATTACCAACATTTCGTGAAGTTGGTACATATTTAAAAGAAAAATATGATAGTGCTATTGAAGTACGTTATCAACGTCGTTTAGGAGAATTACGTTCACGTGATCGTCGTTTTGTTGGACCAACTAAAGATGATTTAATCTATTTTGAAGAATCAAATTTTTGTGAATATAATCCACATATTGGTTCATTAGGTACAAAAGATCGTCAATGTAATCGAACAAGTCATGGATCTGATGGTTGTGCAACAATGTGCTGTGGACGAGGATATAATACAATAAGAAAATATATTCAAGAAAAATGTAATTGTAAATTTATATGGTGTTGTTCTGTACAATGTGAAACATGTCATCGATTTGTAGAAATTTATGTATGCAAATAGATTATTTGTTTGTGTTTTTTTTAGTATGAGAAAGTGAATTTGTTTTCTTTCTTTTTTTTTTTGTTACTATTATTTTAATATATACATATACATATATATATATAAGGAAATTTTCAATTTGTTTATGCATAATTAACTAATGATAAAGAATCTTGAATTGCCATTTTTGTTATTTAATCTTATCTTTTGGTAATAAATAGATTCTTATGTTGCTAATAGGAATAGCAAAAGGATAAATGTCTACAGGAATTTTCTTTCGTGAACGACAACTGTTGTTCTAATATTATTATATGTTGTTTCATATAGGGTGTCCGGAAAGTCATTAGAGTTAGAAAAAATTGAATATCTCCGCTACGGCTCGAGCAAACGGGCTGATCTTTTTACCAATAACAGAGACATGTTCATACTTCAAATCCATACGGACAAGGTTAGCGAGAGCCTTTGTTAAATACCATCAATGACCTTAACAAAAAACTTTTTACTTTTTTACAGATAGGAAAAAACAATAGACTTAACAAAGAGTCTCTCTAGGCATGTCTTTATGAATACAAAGCTTGAACATGCCTCTATCATTGATAAAAGAATCAGCTCGTTTGCTTCAGCCGTAGTGAAGATATTCAATTTTTTCTCGGCAAAGTGACTTTTGCGCCACTCTGTATATTGTTTTTTTCCTATCTGTAAAAAAGTAGAATGTTTTTTTGTTAAGGTCATTGATGGTATTTAACAAAGGCTCTCGCTAACCTTGTCCGTATGGATTTGAAGTATGAACATGTCTCTATTATTGGTAAAAAGATCAGCCCGTTTGCTCGAGCCGTAGCGGAGATATTCAATTTTTTCTAACTCTAGTGACTTTCCGGATACCCTATATATGAAAAAGAGTGAGGTAGGAGATTATAAACAACTTTAATAGTCTTGATAATGTTTCTCAATAAAAAGTTTTTCAACATTACTACAGTGTACAAGTTTCATAACTTTTTTTTAATATTGTTTTAAAGTTTTTTAACCACTATTGTGAATAATTCAATGAATATTGACTTTCAGTCATTGAATAGATTCCTACAGTACATTGGATGAATGTGAATGAGTAGATAATTTATGTCTAAATAGCATCTGTATTGTCTTATTCCTTACAAATAAAGATAATTTATTCTTGGGATTGGTCCAACTATGGGATGTTGAGACTAATACATTTCCAATTATGGAAAGTTTTTTGTTTTGTCATAGTAGAATCAAAACCTTTCCTTGTCTTCTGTTGGAAAAAAATATTTTTTCTTCCCAAAAATTTATGACATTCTCCATTATTGATTACTTCCAGTCAATGATGATTATCTGTCGAATATAATAGATGGTCAAGAACGAAATGTTTACTTCTAGCATATCCATTTCTATAAATAGATTTCTTATACTTATATTATAGCTCTAGTAAAGAAAATGAAATTCTGTACTAAAAAATAATTGAAATCTTAAAAGTATTGTCTTCATGTGTACTGTATCTACTCCCAAGAGTAATTATTATGATAGTCTTCGGAATATTTGTCGTGTTATTCATTTTATTTCTCGACTTCCTTTCGTTAATATGCCTTTATAATTGTATGCAACTAATTATATCCATATGTCTATTCCATTTGTCTAAGATCAAATCAATCAGTCCACAATAAGCATTACTTTCTTATGTCTAAAAAATGAATTTCAAATGGTAATAATGATCAGAACTTTCTCTTATGACAGATTAATGAATAGACACAGTACTCATCACGCCAGGGGGTGACCACCTACCTCGAATGGTGAAAAATTGTTTTTTTTGCCCGTCAATTCCCAAAAAAATACTCAATCATCTCTTTGAAAATCCGATCAACTTTAGCCAAAATACCGTCCAATTGATCTTTTGAGTCGTTGCCTCCCTCCTCCCTCCCCCCCCCCCGTAATCCTGGCGACCTCGGGACACCCCTGCATCAGATAAACTATTTAACAATTTATTTCTTATTGCTTTTGTTGAATTTACTTAAGCCAGCACAATTGATAATAAATTTGGTAGGAAAAAAAATGCATTGTATAATACCATCATTCATTAGCTAGATAAATCGTTTATTATAAGAGTCCATAAAAATAACTAATCATTCTTGATATTCCTTTGAAATTTCTGTAGACTAAGAATTGTATATAAAAATGATTACGATAATTTTCATTGATTTCTATCTGAAAAAATCAGCAATTCTGGTGATAGCAATTGCGAATATAAACAACGAGATCAATTTTTCTAGATAAATTTTGTCGAAAGAATCGACTAACGTATATACTAATAGGAGTGATAATAACAGATGACAATGATTATAGAGAATGTCTATTTATCAGTAATCATACTTTCGTTCTCGATTGTCAACAAAGTCTGCTTTTCTAATCAGATTAATGCTGAGTATTTATCAATATTTATCATAAGATAACAATAATTTAAATAAAATCTATGATACAAAAGTATTAGAATAATAGAAATATAAGATCATTATTTGTTTTGATAATCAGTGCAAATCTCACTTGTTATACAGTCTAGATATTTCTCTTTGAAAATACAACAAAAACTAACGTCTGTTTTTTTGCTTAAATGATGCATTGTCGAGATATCGACAAAGACTATTCAACACTTAGTAGTTTGTATATTCGATAATTAAATCAATATTAGATAAAATAAATGTATTTCATCATTTGTATTATTAATTGAATTAGTATTGTAGTTCGCATTAGAATCTTCAAAAAAAAAAAAATAACAAAATTTTTATCTTCAACTAATCGTTCGTACTAGTAAGTTGCCAATCAATTAAGAAGAATACTTGAAGAAAAAAAAACATCTTTATAATATCGGTGATACTGATATCATTTATTACTACGTAAATGTCAGAAAAGAACTGTTTCACAACAGGCTAATAACTCATTTAGAATCTGCTACCAACTACATATGGTTTTGCCAAGGTTAAATTAAAAAAAATCCAGAAACCTTATTTTCTATTTTCTTGGTTATCATTTATTTTAGTGTACATAAAACACCAAATAAAAATTCCTTAACGAAGTAAAACTTACTTCTATACTTGTTCTTATCGAAACGATACAGATGTTCTATGGAAAATAGTTAATGGGATAAATTAGTATTTCTGTTTGTTTCCTAGACACAACTGTTATACGGTGTGATTGATTAATATCTACACACAAATAACTACAATGTACTAGCATACTCCAGGGTTGTTTGATCAAAATCAATTGAGATTGCCAGAAAAATACTAATGAACAAAAAGAACTTTTTTTTGTATAGAACATATTAGTTGTCAATTAAGTATTCTTATTGTTATACGATTGCCAAAAACCTTATTTTATTAGTATTGGAATGAATAAATAATCTATTTTATATTTGACTGTACTTTTATGATTTATTTTATGTATTCACAGAATTTTTTCTTTTCCCATTGCCAAATGTTATTTGTTTATAGAGGACATAAATAATACTCCTTTTTTGGTTACGGTTAATATCTATTACTTATTTCAAGGTTACAAATAGTGTTGGATTATTAGCAAAAAAAATAAGTAATATACATAATAGATATTCCTCGCTTGATCGAAACGTATAAGCTGATAGCGTTGCATTTACATGCATCAGGGAATGGATCATTGGAAACAGAATGAGTTGTAATCATTCTCTTCTTTTCGCCTGTTTGCTTATGCTATATATGTACAATGTATACACACTGTAATAATAACACCATACGAGAGCTTCAAGAATTTTTCTACTTTGTGCAGTATGCACTTCCATAAATATCCGACGGAAAAAGAGATAGCGGCGAATCCTTCTTTTTCTCCTTCTTCCGTCTGGCTCAACATTCTTGACGGCGTATAATCAGTACTCTAGTTATAGCTACCAGTGGTCGTCGGCGGAATGAGGAGAGAGAAAGTGCGAGAGAGGGAGAGAAGAAAAAAAAGATGTGAATATTATGGCTCGTCCGAGAATATTTGCCAATTTTGGAGATATACCCGCTTTGGTTCGGCCAACCAACGTAAGAATTTTGATATAACTAGTGAGATAAAGAGAAAAAATACGGGTAAGAGAGAAGAAATTAGAGCTATTTCTTGTCGACGATCTTTTTTCTTCTCGGACGACGTAGAAGAGAGCGTATATAACTACGTGTTATCAACAAGACAGTCGTTTAGCACAAGCAAAACTAGGCGAGTTTCACCCATTATCAGGTATAGACAAATACAAAAGATGGCTCATCAACAAGTTAACTAAATGCAAAACATTTGTTTTTCTAGATTGTATTGTGTTGATCATCTTTGTTCGAAAGAATTTTAATAAGCAATTATGTCGATCGAAGGGTAAAGGGATACACATGAAAAAGCCTATATATATATATATATATATTGATGTTTAATCAATACTTTTATTTTTTTAATTTTATAGCGTTATCTACGATCCAAACGATCCGGAATTAAAAGAATCACTAAAATATTTGGCTCTACCAACTGAAGAACGTATTAAACTTCAATCTCAACCTTTCGATGGTAAGAAACAATGTTGGGCACCCGATGCAAAGGAATCCTTTATTAGTGCTGAAATTGTCAGCACAAAAGGTGAAGAAGTAACAGTTAAAACTGATAAAGGAGATGTATGTACAATTATAAATAAAACAATTTTTATATTTAGTATTTATTCTTTAGAACATTACATTAAAAAAGGATGACGTTCAGCAAATGAATCCACCTAAATTCACTTGCTGTGATGATATGGCTAATTTAACTTATTTGAATGATGCTTCGGTCTTGCATAATTTACGTGATCGTTATGGTCGATGGCTCATTTATGTATGTGTTATCATATTTTTGTTTTTTCTCATTTTTTAAAATTCTTCTATTTTTTCTCTAGACCTATTCAGGTTTATTTTGTGTTGCCATCAATCCATACAAACGTTTACCAATTTATACACTGAAAGTTGTACTTATGTATCGTGGTAAAAAACGTACTGAAGTAGCACCACATTTATATGCTATTGCTGACAATGCATATTCAAATATGCTTCGTGGTAAGTAGAAAAAGATTGATTTCTAGTCTAAACAATTTATCTTTTTTTTTGTTTGACTTTGCTCGAATGTCCATCATTATAGACGGTCATATATATAATCATAATATCATATGAAATAATAGAATATATGTTGACATTTTCTTTGATTGCAAAGTAATATCGAGATCATAGATTTCTTTGCTGATTCTTTTATACGGTGCGTAGGAGTTAGGTGATAAGGTTATCAACTATTGATCAATAAAAACGTCAATTAGAATGAATATGACGAGAAAGAAAACCAATTTTTCCGAAATGATCACGTATGCAATGGCTTCTACTAGTTGCATATTTATATACATTAAGAATGAGACGCATTTATAAACGAGCAGATATTGTCTGTTATTTAGATAAAATTGACAGGCAGAAAAGGAAAAAAGAAAGTAATCATCTAGAACATCAACGCGTCATAAATATTAATAAAACAACATGTCACATTAATTAACTAACTCAACTTTAACTTAAAAAAGAAAAAAACATGAATTAAAATGATCTTGTATTGTTTTGTTTAGATCGTGAAAATCAATCTATGTTGATTACAGGTGAATCAGGTGCTGGCAAGACAGAAAATACTAAAAAAGTCATTCAATATTTTGCATTGGTTGCTGCTGCCAGTGCTAAGAAAGAAGAAGGAGCGGTAATGTATTAAAAATCTATCCTCATCACTACACATTATATCACATAATTCAATATTCAGTCAAATTTAATATAATATGTTTTTTTTTCTTTTATTTGCGGGGATTTTAAAGAAAACAATGACTCTCGAAGATCAAATTGTTTCAGCTAGTAAGTGTGAGCCTATTCCGACAGACGGAGATTAAATAAGATTCTCCTCAGTCAAAGATCAAATCATACAAACTAAAAAAAAACGAAAAAAATGTTTTTTTTCTCTCCCAATAATTAGATCCGGTACTTGAGGCTTATGGTAATGCAAAAACTACTAGAAACAATAACTCTTCTCGATTCGTAAGTTGCGGTTTATTGAAAAAAACCGCAGCACAGCATAAAAACCTGACTTGATTTGATTTATACACAATTCTAAGTTTATCCCGAATTTATCTGACACTCCTTGCACAGTATATCACAACCACACACAACATACCAACACATGACACATACACATTCACATTCACGTTCACATTCACATTCACACCTAACCGAAAGCATGCACACCTTGTTTTTTTCCTCATCATAGAGATCTATGACTCTCGAAGATCAAATTGTTCAATCAAACCCTGTGCTCGAAGCATTCGGTAATGCTAAAACAAGTCGAAATAATAATTCATCTCGATTCGTAAGTTCAAAAATCGGGAATAATTATTTTAATCGAGGGTCATATATATATATGGGGTATTCCATGGTATCTCTCCAGCAAAATACACAAGTATCTCCAAATTCAACGAAACTTTCAGGATTTGTAGATCATAGTGAGATATGAAAAACGTACGGACTAGTTTTTTAAAATTCATTAATAAATAGAAGAATGCCGTACACAACATTTTCATATTTTTGTATAAAATCATAAAACTAGGATTTTGTGAAAAATCATCTTTTCTAAGATTGATTCGAACTGAACACATAAATTCAAATTATATTAACATATTACACATATTCTGAAAGCTCCTGCTCTGGACTACATTTTGGCTATAAAATATTGTAATTTTGTCAGGACTTTCGCGACGTCGCCCTATGTGTATGAGGACACACTCTTGCGCATTTTGTCACTAAAAAATGTTCGTAAAACCTGAATTACAGAGAGTAGCCCTATAGGAGATTTTGTAGAGAATCAACTGCTCTACAAGATGCACCTAACCCGAGCTCTCGCATTTTCTATTTGACTAAATAGGAAACACAGAAAGACGAAAAATCCCTTTTTTTTGAGTGTTTTAAAGAAAAGTATATCCATAGAGTCCACCACATTCTCAACAAAAGTTTACCGATTTCGATGAAACTTTCAGTGTTTGTAGAGCTTTTAATTCTGAACATTTTGATAAAAATATGTTTGTGAAAAGATATCATATTAATGGAGATGGTAGGGACATCATGTGAAACCATGTAAAACTACTAAAGATTCGACCAAAATCTAGCTGTTTTCATCACAATAATTGCATCGTAGAGCAAAACAAATAGCATATTCAGAATCAGCGCAAAAAATTACATCGATCCACATAATTTCCAAAAAAAAATTTTTTTTTGCAAAATTCACCCCTAGGGGACCACAGGCAAATATTTGTATAGGAAAATGGCCTGAGGGGGGATACAGCCATTTTTCGATGAGAAAAATTTTTTTTTGTAAATGATGTGGATCGATGCATTTTTTTGCGCTGATTCCGAATATGCTATTTGTTTTGCTCTATGATGCAGTTATTGTGATGAAAACAGCTAAATTTGGTCGAATCTTTAGTGGTTTTATATGGTTTCACATGATGTCCCTATCATCTTCATTAATATGATACCTTTTCACAAACATTTTTTTATCAAAATGTTCGGAATTAAAAGCTCTACAAATGCTGAAAGTTTCATCGAAATCGGTAAACTTTTGTTGAGAATGTGTTGGGCTCTATGGATATACTTTTCTTTAAAGTTGTCAAAAGAAGGGATTTTTCGTCTTCCTGTGTTTTTAGATTTTTTCAAACAGAAAATGCGAGAGTTCGGGTTAAGTGCATCTTGTAGAGCAGTTGATTCTCTACAAAATCTCCTATAGGGCTACTCTCTGTAATTCAGGTTTTACGAACATTTTTTAGTGACAAAATGCGCAAGAGTGTGTCCTCATACACATAGGGCGACATCGCGAAAGTCCTGACAAAATTACAATATTTTATAGCCAAAATGTAGCCAAGATCAAGAGCTTTCAGAATATGTATAATATGTTAATATGATTTGAATTTATGTATTCAATTCGAATCAATCTTAGAAAAGATATTTTTTCACAAAATTCTAGTTTTGTGATTTTATACAAAAATATGAAAATGTTGTGTACGGCATTCTTCTATTTATTAATGAATTTTAAAAAACTAGTCCGTACGTTTTTCATATCTCACTATGATCTACAAATCCTGAAAGTTTCAGCCAATTTGGGAATACTCGATGTAAACGCTGGAGAGATCCCATGGAATACCCCATATATATTTATTGCATGCATTGCATTGATTTTATTTTGGATTTGAAAATGCATGTTTGATAAATATTGAAATAATATTGATTTTGAATATATAAAAATCTTTCTTTTTGTGAATGGATACTTGTCTGTTGATAATTTTTTTCCTAGGGTAAATTTATTCGTATTCACTTCGGCAGTTCAGGAAAAATTGCTGGTGCTGATATTGAAGTATATTTACTTGAAAAAGCTCGTGTCATTTTTCAAGTATGTTAAAAATAAAATTTTCAATTGTAAAAAATTTAATTTCTGTTTTTTAATCTACTTTAGCAACCAGGTATTATATTCAATTAAAATATCTATTGAAATTAAATTTAATAATTTATTCTAGCTGAACGTAACTATCATATTTTCTACCAAATATGTTCAAATGCTTTTCCGGACATTCACAGTAAGATTTATCAAAAACAAAAAAAGAGCCAAATATAAATTTAAAACTTTAATTTTTCAGAGGAATGTCTTATTGTTAATGATCCCGGAAAATATCATTATGTAGCTCAAGGAATGCTTACTATTGATAATGTTGATGATGCTGACGAAATGAAAATTACTGATGAAGCTTTTGATATTCTTGGCTTTACTAAGGTTTATATTGGATTTTATAATAAATAAAAAAAACGAATCTGGTTTTTTTTTGTTTATTAATAGGAAGAAAAACTGAACATGTACAAATGTACAGCAGCTATTATGCATTTTGGTAATTCACAATGGAAACAACGACCACGTGAAGAACAAGCTGAAGCTGAAGGAACAGAAGAATGCGAAAAAGTTGCTCATCTTCTTGGTATTGAAGCAGCTGAACTCATCAAAGGTTTACTTAAACCACGTATTAAGGTTAAACATAATTTATTTATTGATTGATTTGAATATGGAACCTTTTTTTTCATATAGGTCGGTAATGAATATGTTAGTAAGGGTCAAAGTAAAGATCAAGTTGTTAATTCAATTGGTGCTCTTTCGAAATCGGTATGTTAAAAAAAATTGTTAATTGAAAATTAAATTTAATATTCTTGTTTTTTTTTTACTTAGATCTATTCACGTATGTTTAATTGGTT